TTGCAGAAAGAATCCCGGGCTGAAGGAAAAATGTGATTACTTTCAAGGAAAATGTTTCACTATGGCATCTTTCTAACTTTATTAGTTTTTGTATAATATTAAAGATTTTATTTGATATTTTCAAGCTTTTCTTTTTATCTCACAGTTTGTCTGAGTTCTTTACTACATCTGAAATCATTTTTCCATTTCCTTTTAGTTCAATGTAATTTTTCTCATTTCAGTTGGTAATTTGTAATTCTTAAACTATGAGAAAGTTTTCTCCCACGCTTGCTTTTACTAGTCTTTCCTTTCATTCGAGCATTTTTACAGCTCCTTAAAGGAATTTTATATGCCAGGCATTTCCACCATCTTTCATAGCATTTTATTTTACACATTGCATTTTCCTTTATTTGTTGTAAAGTTCTTGAACGTCGTTGGCTATTTGTGAACCTTTTTTGGTTCCTTTACAGCCACAACGTGGAAATCTTTACTTTGGCCTTAATCTGCGAACTTGTTTTAGGTGCCAAGTCCTGTCCATAATTAGGAAAAGGAAAGAACACCTTATTCGCCTTAATGTACTAGGGATTAATAGCTTTAAAAAAACTAATTAAAGTTTTCCTAATTCAAAGTCATAAACCTTTTCACACTTCAAACTATTCCCCCTTTTTTTATACATTTAAAGAATTTTTTATTTACACAAAAAATTCACCAACTTGTAATAGTTTCTGTTAAAATTCTTTGAGTATGGCTTTTATTTCAGCCTCTGGAGTGGACTAACCCTCAATGGCTTTTCTGCATTTTTTCTCAGCCGATTGCCAGCAAGCAATTAACTTTGAAAAATGCCTGGAAACAAGTGGCAAGGAGGAGCAGGTTAAGGATGAAGCTTGGTGGGCAGATCCCTGATGGCTGATGACTGATGGACGAGATGGGCAGGTGGGGAAAGTGTGGAAAAGTGGGAAGAAGAGTGCATCACGAGTGGCTGACTGGGCTGGCAGCTTCAAGTGGCGAATAAGCTTCCCTAAACGGGACCGAAACAAAGGAACCCGGGCAGAACACTAGAGAATTCTCCTCTCCAAGTAATCCCAGTAACTTCTAGCCATTTTGAGCTGGCGAAAGTGGTGGGGGGGAAGGTCGTTGTTTATCGATTGCCAAGTAAAAGCAGCCATAAAAGATGATGGCAAAGACCAAGGAGAATGGAGAACAAAACAGAGACAGAAAGAGAGCAATCGAAAATTGGCACAGGCCCTTGAAAAAAAGTTGGTTGCTTGTTGTTGTCTTCTGTTTGTTGTTGTCTTCTGTTTGTTGTTGTCTTCTGTTTGTTGTTGTCTTCTGTTTGTTGTTTAACATACATAAGCCCACGCAAATGAAACGGCGACGACGAACGACGACCGACGAAGTATCAGCACAAAGACGATGATGATAATTATGATGATGGCCACGAAGGACGGAGCAAGTGCAAGTGAAGGAATTAGCAGGAAGACCAGACTCATGAAGGGAAACCAAACGTCTGCAATTAAGATAAAAGTCTGCCAGAAATAATTCAGATAAGTTTTTATACATTTCCTAAAAACATTTAGTTTTGTTGTTTCTTAGGTTTTCAAGTTGATAAGCCCTCTAATCACTGGCATATTATTCAGTTTCTAGAGAATGTCTTTATCTCAAATAATTTAAAAAACATTTTGTTTACTATAAACTAAGTCAGAAGCCATTATAAATATTTAATCTATAAAAATATGTTACTTGACTCAAGGACTTTAAAAAACAAACAGTTGATAAGTTACATGACAAGTTACCCACGATAAATACTAACTAACTACTTATTGCAAACTGGCATGCCAAATTTGATCCTGATATAATAATCATAACCCTTTTAAACATTTTTATTCTGATTTTTCACCGTACAAATTTAACTGCAAAAAGCTGTCTGTAAACTTTTAATTCGTTGTGTATATTGATAACTTTTTCAGGCTACCTCCCTCAGAAAAGTTTAAATTTTGAATGGATCAGAACATCTGCTTATCGAAACTCCCCCCGAGAGTCCCTGTTTTATCGCCCCATCTACTGGTCTTTTGCCTTTTGCATTTTACGGCCTGCCAAATGGCCATCTGGCATCCGTTTGCCAACCGATTGAGGGCAGAGATTCGGAAACCCTCTTGGTCTCGGTCGGAAAGGAAAGACCGGGTGAAAGGCGGAACGTTGTCAAGCATCGAAAATGCGGACCGGACTGCGGGGCTGACTCATTGAACCACAAGATGAATACAAAGATGCCAAATCAACTCGAACGAGTTACTGCCGGTGCCTGGTGGTTGTCGGTTGATGGTTGGTGGCTAAATTCCCCCTCACTTGCCCACTTGCCCACTTGGTTTTCGGTTTTCGGGTCAATTGCATCCCGGCTTGTTGGCAGCACTCTCGAAGCCAAAGCGACATTTGAGTTCTGCACTCGGCCTAAACGTGCAACGAGTAAGCTCCAATGGAAAACTCATTCCGGCCAAGTGCGTGCAGCGTTTGTCAAATTGCCAGTCAGGCCATGGAGAGCGTTTTCCCGTTTCTGGGCACCCAATTCTCCTCATCCTCTGATCCTCTCCATTCCATAGCCCCGAGCGACAGTTGACAAAACCAGACTTCACAATGCCAGCAACAATAACATTAACAACCGCAACATTTGTAATGGAAATTCCTGCATTGAAATCTCGTTTCATTTCGTTTAGCCGCAGTTACGGTTTTGTTTTGGCTGATACTCTCCTTAAACTAGAAGGTATAACACATTTTCAAACCCATCTTTAATTAACAGCTCTATTATAAAATGATATTTCATCCATTAGTTGACATAAAAACAAAATGCATTAGAACCTGTTTTAGAGTGCAAAACTTGTTTATTATGCAACACTTTTTAATTGCATATCATTGCAATCTAACTTGGTTTTTCTGATAGTTCAATATGGGAACGTGGAATTAAGTTATGTTAAAACTCATCTTGTATTTCTGTATAAAAATGCATGATGCTTTGAGAAAGTATAGTTCAGTATAAACTTTAATAGATTAAGCTCTGTGAAAGCAAAGAGTAGATTAATTTCAATGTAAAATCCATTTCAGATTCTTCAGAATATTCATTCATTATAAATAATAAGTGTAAAATCAAATTCTAAATAATCGTAATTAATAATCAATAAGGGTATTCAAAGTTCCAGAATGCCTGTACTTGGCCTTCCTTCCTCACTTTTTTGTTGGTTTAATTTTTTTGTGGTTGGTATTTGATTTTTTTTTTTTTGCCAGCTGTTGACTGCAAGTGCCACTGGCTTTGTTGCTTTTATTGGTGTTTTTTCTGGCCTTTTTGCAGCTTTTGTTGATGCTGTAACTGTTGCGGTTCCGTCAACGACAACGTCATCATCCCCGGACGTCTAGCACCCTGGAGATGTCAATGAACCCAACCAGGTCTCCAATATCCAAAAGGAGCCAGCCGACACTAAAACTTTTGCAACTCCATTGGCCACCACTTGACCACCAACGATGACGACGAGGGCGGGCTAACAATTTTAGGCCATTACTTTTGATGAGCGATCGATTGTTATGATTATGGAAGAATTTTTGCCCACTGCAGCTTTTCCCTGACAGCGAAATGGGCTGCTCATGCAAATGAGTTGAACGATTCTCGAAATGTGTTTGGCATTCCCAAATAACACACAACCTAATGCTTTAAAATTGCAAATTAGCAAAAAACAATCAGAGACGAATAGAGTCAACAGCATGAGAACCTGGGTTCTGGAATCCCGTGCTTATGTTCGTGCCCAGGCAGATCTCTATCGACTAGTGCGAATAACTAAATTCAACGCGACACGCAAAGAAATAAAACCTCACTTAAAATGGATTTAGTACCTGTCCAAAAGCAACTAAGAATAGAGAAAAACAAAATAATTTAATAGCAAGGCCATAAAAGTTAGGAAAAGAACAAATTTAAATCAATAAGTGGATTGTTTTGGTTTAAGGCCTAGATATGTATATATCATTATAAAATGTCATAGTAAAATCTTGATTCATAAAGGTATAGAAAGTGTTGAGTAACTGTCTTAGGCTTGCATGTTTAAAACAACTAAAAAAATAACTCAATTTAAGGCCAAAAAGATCTAACAATGAAGTGCTGACAGGCTGACATTTGTTTTTAAAATTAGCACAGCATTCTAAATATTTAATTAAAACAAGAGTAAAGCAGTGACTGTAAAGTGAGAGTAAAGTGAGACCAATGGCTTCTAATTAGCACTTTGCTGTTGTGGAAATAACAGCCGTGCGAAAATCCAATGTTTGAAACAAACAACAGACCCTAAATCCAGATAGTTAGATTAGAAGGGGGTCTCCATAAAGTGTGGATGGTAAAAAGCAGAATAGAAAGCGCCCCTCGGCCGGGAGAATACAACAACAATAACGAGAAAAAAGTGAAACGGACACCACACAACAATGAAAAAATCAATTTAAATTGAATTATACAATGCCAGGCAGCAGCAGCACACGGCGAACTCAAATAAAAGCGAATTGCAGGGGCACAACAAAAGTAAAAATAACACCATAACCAAAACGAGATGCTTAAACGGGTTTAACGCTCCTCTTTCGAAGATCTATATTATATGGCATATATATGTGTACATATATCAGATGAAACGATTCTCAATGAATGAAAACATAAGTTGGGAATCGAGTATGGGCTAAATAAAGATGGGCCGCGGCATAAATTAAAGATCCCCATGTCTCTGCAATTTTGTAACACTTTGTCTGCGGGTTCTTATGTTGATTTTATTTATAACCAATCCCAATGCGAATCGAGTGCAGAATCGGTCTAGACGGATAATTTAATTGGACCCCGTACCCAGAGACAAAAAACATCCCAATTTTCTTTGTTTGGTAAATGTCTGAGAAATCCGGTTTTTCATTTTTTTTTTTTTTTGTGGACAGGGTAAACAGACGCTTTGGGGGGTGGTTTATTTATATATTGATTGTTGCAGGTCCTACAAATCACCGCTTTAGTTTCTCACCATTTGTTGAACTCTAATTTTGTTAATAACTTTTCGTGTTTCCTTTAACTCCCACGCACACATACATCGTCTCGTCGAAGAGTATCAATTTTCCCGTAATCCTTTATAAACAGACACACACACACGTGCACTTACACCCGCGCAAAAACAATTTAAGTCTTCTAATAAAAGTACTAAACCAAATATGTGAAATAAGTTTGATATATTGAGCTAATTGCTTTAACTAACACTTGACTTGATCAAGGATTCTCGTCGTTGCGAATCAATAAAATGCGACAAATGCGACAATGTTGTTTTGGGATAAAATAAAAACGTCCGCTACCCAACCGAACGATTTGAATTTCTTTTGCAGACTGGTCGTTGCATTTCAGTGTGCTGTATTACATTCTTTATTCTGGCTTTTTTGAGGTATTTTTCTTGAGCGCAAGCGCGGTCACACATTTCTGTAGGTAAAAGTTCGGATAAAGCGCCAATGCGGCTGAGAATGTAAACTCAATGCGCGATTCCGAAAATTGGTCAAAAAATTCGTAATTTCGGAGTACAATCTTTGTAATTTTTACAACTTCAGTTAATATTTATTCATGACTTCTAACTGCTTAAGCTAAAAATTTAGTTACGTGCATACGAATATCCTTGAGCTTAACTGTCAAGAATCTTACAATCTTTTTATCGCCTAATCATGGAATTCATAATGCGATTAGTCAGTTTTATTGGAGTTGACGGTGCCGACATAAATATAACTACCGTAAGAACAGTTTAATTTACATAATTAATAACAAAAACAATGCTAAGGAAACTCAATTTCCAAAATTAAAAACAATTTTAATTATACTCTTTGCCATTTAAACTAGTTCGAGTCCTAGTATCAAGTTCGAGTTAAGCATTAATAAACATATTGTTCTTAAACATAAGAAAAATTATTTCTTTATTTATTAACTCTCCGGCGTGATAAAATTATAATAAAGCGCACAAGATTTAAAATTACAACCCCATTTTCTGTTCTACGATTTCTTTCTAATACAAAACTTACTTTCTTATTTTGCTGTCTCTTTCACCCAATCTCATTCGATAAGCATTCGATACATCGAGATGGCTGATAGTCAAATTTAAAGTTTAAGTAAGAAATGTTATAAATGTAAATGCAACTTCAAAATATAATAGAATTTGTGTAAAATTATGGAAAAATCTATGAAGTAAAGTGCAATCGGATTCGATACTTATCGGTAACGTTTATTTGCAGTGCCACCTATCGGTAACGTTCAATTGCTGGAATACGAGCAACATCAATCTGAGTGCCATTTAAATTTCCAAGTACTCCGCCGTCTAATCCTCGTAAAAGAACCCACCCGGAATGGGGTTCACGGGTCGTATCATCATTCGCGAGTTTTTTGGTTTAGCCGTCCCGGTACGCCAATTCGCCCAAATGATTGCTGGACTAGCTCTCTGGTGCAGACCAAGTTCTCCATTTAGATTGGACTTGGTACAACGATCGAACCACCAACCTCCGCCATAGTCCTCGGCACAGGTGGAATCTGCGGATGTGGTGGTTTCCATCCGCCGATCATAGGTGCTGAAGTCCATCAGATTGTGCTGTCCCAGAACATCTGGCAACGAACCCCGGAAGTCACCTTCTACCGAAATTTGGTAGCTGTAGCTTTCACTGTCCAACCGAAAAAGTGAATACTCCGCCAAATCCATCGGTTCCTGCTCCTCCCACAATTCCACTCTTAGTTCATGATCGTCGCGATAGAGAATCTTGTGCGTGAACTCGTTGCCAAACCAAAAGTCTTGGGACAAATTCCCAAAACCCGCGCGATACTCGTCCCAGCTACGATTAAAGTTCTCTATGGGATTGATTGTGCCATCTCTGTTCTGGATCACCGTCCAAGCTGGGCCATCAGTCGCGAAGGCACAATAGCGCTCATACAAATCGCGCTGGACTTCATTTCTCTCAGGAACCAGAAACCTATAGACGCCATCCACCCGAACATCTTGATCCAGTTCATAGCAATCCGATTTAGCCGGCTGATAAAAGTCTATAAAGGATTTCCTGGTAAGTTTAAAGATTTCAGTTTATTAAGCAACACAACTTACCAACTTTCGAGGTGTTCTGAACTTCGGGAACATCCTGAACGAGAGATGTGTTTAGGGAGGTTTCCAGAAGCCTCGAGCTCATTTTCATAATTTGCCCTTCCAGTTCCTCTAATTTCTGGACTATATTCTCCTTTTGGTTTACTCTCTCAAGCAATATATTTAGGCGCCCCGATAGTTCTGTTAGGGAATCTCCTTTAGAGGAGAATCCGTCCTGAGCATGCACATCCGCATCAGAAAGAAAGGCCACCTTTCGCAGCACTCGATGAAGATTAATCTCCAATCCTTTAATCCTAAGGGTCTGTCTATCCAAAGTCTTTCTAATCAAGATAATCTCCTCCAAAGATTTTAAGCCAATATCAGACTTTTTAATCCGAATTAGAGTGTCAGTGCCTCCCAGAAAAACAGAGCACCAGGCCATCAGGAATATCAATGAAAACTTCTTCAAAGGGAGAAGACTTTAAAATAAGAAAACCAACCGATCTGTTGTGCACTCTTACCATCATGTCAATTCCAAGTTCAATCGCCAACTAATGAAGTCAAGCTAGAAAAATTCCGACACACATGTTGTCAAAAGTCCGCCATCTGTTATGGGCCCATTAGATCATTTTTTGACGCTCCATTTGAGTCATTTTTAAGAATATATAATTCTGTATTTTTGCGGTCCTTAGTTAATCTTCACATTTCTGTTGTATTTCTTTTCAAGTTTTAACGAATGAATCTGGATTCTAGCTTTGCGGTGAAACATACGCAGTAGATAGTAAAAAACGAAGTTAGAATAAACATTTCTACGGGCATAGCCGCACTAGGTTTGCTTATGGTTTTTGTTTTTGTTTGTTTTTTTTTTTAAGTTTTTAATTGCTACAATTAGCCACTAACTTTAAAGGTAGAAATGAAAACGCCTAAGCAACTAAAATACATATACATACATTTATCAATCGATCGTTTTTCACATACCGCCTTAAAATTCCTCTCTCTCTCTCTCTCTTTATACATTTACAGTTGATAAACTTTTTAAAATATAAGAAATACAAGCCTAGAGCCAGCTGAATATTTGTTAGGCTAAAGGCTAAGGGGTAAGCTTGTTCAATTTACAGATAATCGCTTGGTTTTGTTTAGTTGTTATATCATTTGTGTGCAGGTGCGAATACATTTCAAATCTTCTGCTAACTGCTCTCTTGGCATTTACATCTTTATGTATGCATATAGTATATTTAAATGTGTGTTTTCTTGTTTATATATATTTATATTTATATTAAGATTAGCTTAATATTTTATCAATAGCACACTTTGGCTTGAAGCCCAAGTGGGTTTGTTGTTTCTGTTTAATCGCCGACCGCTGACCACTTTTCAAACCGAACGCACCCACCACGCTGGCACAGCTTGGTGAGCACGTTGACGACCGCCGATTAGTTTACATTATCAGTAACTGCTTAGCTCTATGTTTTTAGCTTTTATATTTACATTGATTATTTCAAGAGTTTCGCTTCTGCTTCGTTTGTTGTGTATTTTTGAGTTTTGCTTATCTGTGTTTTTTTTTTCTTGTGGTCTCGTAGAACTAAATAACTTAGACGATTGCTTAGCGTATGCAATGCTGTTTTGTGAGTGCAAACCAATCCGTTTAAAACAAATTAAAATTTTTGCTCTGCTCCGGCTGATTTGTGTTGTTGTGTTATGGGGCTTAAAATTGACAAATCGTTTAAAAAGACTTAAAATCACGAAAACGAAAGTTATTTGCTTTGGGTTTTGGTCTTAGATACGTCTGCTGCGAACGCCATCCGTCCGGGTCTTCCACTCCGGATCATTGGGATCGTCGTCCTCAAAAGGATCATCGGCCATATCCTCCTCAAGCGCATCTGGATCACCCAGATAGGCATCGATCGCAGCATCGTACATATCCTGTTCGCCATCCGGGGTCGACTGCTCCTCATCGTCCAGCGGCGCCAGATGATGCTTGGGATAATCATCGTCCTCTTCCTCCAGCAGTATATTCTCCTCCTCTGGCTCGGAAATCACTTCTTCTCTTACGCCATCGGTTCCTTTTGTCTTCGCTGCTGCAGGATGGCCATTGATCTGGCCATTTAACTGACCATTCAGCTTGATCTTAGACTTGCTGCTACGGCGACTGCTGCTACCTCCAGTAGAGCTATTTCCATCACAGTTCGAAGATATTGACTTGCTCTTAGCACGCTTTGAGCCGGACATCGATCTCGGAGTCGCGTAGGTTTCGGCCAACATTCGCTGGTAGACCTCGTCGGAGAGCGGAAAGTTCAAAGGCTCAAAAGGCGACGGCAGCACCACATAATTCTGTTTATAAAATAAAGTTAAAATTAGGAATAGTTAATTTATTTTATTCAACTTAGGTACAAAATTAAAAGAATTCTCTATGACTTACCTCCCGCAAATCGGGCGTGGTACTGCGGCGTTCAACCTGCTCCTTGAGCTTGCTGGATGTAGTCCGACGACGGGCTTGTCGTGCATGTCCGCCCACCAGCAGCTCGCCGCTGTCGTTGAACCCATCTAGTGGATGAGCCAACGGCGAGGGAATGCTTTCGTTGTCGTGTCCAATACCCCCTAGGTGAGGAGCTGGTGAGGCGGGATCCGGTGTGTTGGCGCCACTCGATTCCGCACGACTGTCGATACGTCTATTCGCACGGGATCTGGTGCTCCAGGGAAACTTGAGGAAGGTCTCGAAGCGGCGACGCTCCTCGAGAAGAGCACGTTGATGTCGCAAAATGAACGCCTCATCCGAGAGATCTTCTTCGCCATGCTCTTCCTCTTCCTCATTATCCCGGGCTTCTGGTGGCAGCAGCTGAACGACCTGTCCATTAACAGCGGACTTTGTGATTTCGTCGACTTGGGTTTCTAGCTTAGGCCGCTTGGAAAGTGGTGGATCCGTGGTTGGCTGAGCTGTGTCCTCCGGCTTTTCGGCAGTTTTGTCATTTAGATTTTTAGACAAATTCCCGTTGAGCTTGGGTTTGATCCCCTTTTCCTTCGGCTCCTTTTCCTTCTTTTCCGTATTGAGAATTTCTACAGCCTTAGTTTCATCCTTTTTTGCGTTACCGTTTACCAGTCCATTTTTATTATTATTGTTGTTTGTATTATTATTGTTATTGTGCTTGACTGCTTGCTTCTCTCTTAAACCATTAACCTTTGGAGGCTGCTCTTGGGGTTGCTCTAGTTGTTGTGAAGGCGGTTGGGGTTTAGGTACCTCCTCTGACGTTGATGCGGCACTGCCATTGCTAAGTTTACACTCCGCTGACTCATCCGACGAATGTTTTGCCTTATCATTATCACTGTCCACAATGCGCCACCTATAAGCAAAGATAGGAAGGTGATTACAATATATGCTGTTAATTGTTTGATTCTACAGATAATGATAAAACATTTCCTTAGACTTCATTATATATAGTTATAGTTATACTTACTTGGGTATGGGTATTTCCTTGTAGGGAAGGATTTCCATTTTCGACTGTGCTAACATGCTGTAGGGTATTACAATGTTATTGATGTCGTAGATGGGACGAACGCGACGCTCCGAGGTTCTGCAAGGGAAGAACAGAAAAACAAAGTAAGCCATTTTCTCATATCATCTATTTTGACAAAGGTTTAAAGCAACGGTTTACACTCAAGTTAATGAAGTTCTAGAACCAAAAACCCCTTCAATTAATTAACCCGTAAGCAAACTCATTCTTACCTCTCGTTTCGATGGCTGTGGGTGGGTGAGGAGTTGCGGCGACTCCTGCTTTGCTCCCCCCACTGATCCCCGTAGCCGTTGAGTTGATGGTTGTTAATGTTGCTGCCGTGTGGATGCTGCTGCTGTGTGGAATTGCTGCTGCTGTTTGTGGATTTTCGTGACTTCTTAGCGCCGCTGTGTGTCGAGATCGAGGTTGAGGAGGGACTGTGGTGGCGTTGTTGTTGGCGTTGGCGAGAGTCTGGCCACAGCGAGCTGGAATTGTTCGCTCCAATTGGGTGCTGTGGTTGTGGTTGCCTCTTGCCCTTGGCCGCTGCTGATGTTGAGTTAAATCCATGATTTGAATGCGGAACAGGGACGAAACGGAGACAAGAACGGAATGGCAAAATAAAACAATTGGTGGAGGAGTTTTATCGTTGTTGGTGGTGGTGGTGGTGTTGTGGAATTTCGTGTTTTGGTTGATCGATGCAAAGAAAAAGAAGAAGAAGAGATGCAAAAGATTGTTGTTGTTTTATGTTAATAACAATTATCGAATTTCGTCATGTTTACAATAATTTACTGTTGGCCACAAGTGGCGTTGTAGTAGGCGTAGTAGAAGAAGAAGTAGTAGCAGTACCAGTACCGTTTCCGCTATCCCCTCCCCCGACGCCTCCGCTTCCACCTGATGATCCTCCTGCAGCAGCTGCTTTGGCTCCGCTGCCAGCCTCCTTATTTGAGTTGTTGTTTCGCTCCTTGCGCCGTATATAACGCCGCTTGACCGCATCACCCGGCCGTCGGTTGCCCGCCTGTCCGCCAATTCCACCAGCGGCTAGCGTCTCGCGTTCCGCCTTCCACATAGCCTTGATAATGGCCTTGGCTTGGCTGCGCATGACGCGATACTGCCAGTCCGTCTGTCGGGCAACAGCCTCCAAGTGCACAGACTGGCTAACATCTGCAAAAAAAAGAATAATAACATGGATAAGATAAAGTTCAAAATCCATTTTGGTTTTCACCTAATCCGATTTTTGACTACATATTTTTTAAGACTTTCTTTTTAAATAATATAAATGAATATCTAAATATTATATATATATATTTTTTTTTAATGAAATTAGCCAATGAATGAATTTATAAAAATAATTATTTAATCTCATGTAAAAAGAAATATTTAAGGGTGAAAACCAAAAAGGTACATTTAGTGGAATTTCCCACTCACCCCTGGTGAAACTTAGCACGGGATGGTAGCCAGCATCGAGCAGTGCAACTCGGTTGGCCGGCATCATCGTCTCGACGAGATCCCGAGGCGCTGTGGGATCTGTTCGGCCCGTGCACAAGGTGCATGGCACCTGCGGCCATTGGCAGCCACACTTGATGTTGCTGGGACGCGCAGCCTTTTTGGAAATCGTGTGCATATTCGTGGTCTGGAAGAGTTTACGCTTTCGGAACTCGGACAGCACCAATGGTCGGGCTCGACTGCAGAGATAATCGGATGATGGCTCCTCTTTGTTACCATTTGCAGGCGGTGGCAGCGATGGTGAAGTCTTGGCTGTGGCCTCTAGCTGAACTTCGCCCTTGGACTGTGTTAACTCCATAAAGAGATCACTGTGCTGTCGGATCTTCATCTCCAGGTCGGTCAACTGCGAGCAGAGCCACGACCAGCGCAAGGCTATTTGTGCCCGATCTCTCGAGTATCGCCAAACAGCGCGACGAGTACTGGAAAAAATGGAATTTGTAAAACATAAATTTATTGTTTTATAAATTAATGATGCAATTTTTTGTTGAGAAGCTTTTGATAAGGTAAAATAATAATTATATTAAATCATCCAAGACAACTATCAAAATATTATTTAATGTGACTGTCAAAACCAAATAATTTCAAACCAAGTTGTTATATGGAAGGAACTCCAAAATATATACTATTTCGCTCCCAATTTATCGGAAAGAATTATATCGAAAGAACTTATCTTATATAAGGCTGACAAGCTAAAATCTCACAAAACAGAAACGAAACACAGTTTTGACTGTATCTACAGTTTATCAGGAATTTAGTAATATTATTGCTGTACTCACATGGATAGCGATTGCTGCTGGGTGTTGTTATAGGTTACCATCTCGTCAGCAGACTCTCCACCAGAACTTGACTCCGTAGCATCCGAATCAATGGCGTTCTGGACTTCTCGCAGCTCTGTGTGTAGCAAACCGGCCACATGGGTGAGTTCACTTGTCACATAGGTGTCGTAATTGGGCACAATGTCATCCGCACGCGGTGTGTTTGTCTCCGTTGTGGATCCCGTCGTGCCTGCTGCCAGTCCAGACGCTCCACCTGCTGACGAAGAAGCTGTGGTTCCCGTTGCCATCGTAGGATCAAATTGATTCTTTCGCGGACGCTTAGTGGGCAGCACTGAGCTATTGGAGCTGTTGTACCAACTGGAGGAAGGCGCAATGGTAGCCGAGCTTCCGGTGGCCGTGTGGCAGATTTGCTGTTGTCGGGCCGCCGTTGCTATATGCCGAATAACATTGCTCATCTGGCTAGCAGGCAATGGGTGTTTGTTCTGCTCCTCCCAGAAGTTAATGCCTGGACGTCCGGATACGATCGATAGGACGGTGGCTTCCTGTTCGGACAGGGTGGCACTTCTTGCCGGAATGGGAGCCTTATGGGAACTGCGGGCAGACCACTCTAAAATGCCAGCCACCTCTTCGCTGGTGTGGCGGCACATGGCACGCGCTTGTTGCTTACGCAACCTACGTAGCATATAGTCGATTCTGCGCGCTATCAAGTGTTGAACCTTCTCCAGCTCATCATGAACTTCCTGCCAGGGTTTCTGCTCATGCTTGACAATCACATTCGACTGGGAAATGTTGCTATTGCCACTGGCCAGGATGTCGCTGTGGCCAGTGCAACCTGGCTTCACGTCCGGCATCTCAATCACATTTTCAAGAGCAGCTGCTGGCAGAGGCGCTGACGGTGGCGCCTCTTCCCATACTTCGTCGAAGAACTCACAGATGGCATCGGGATTGACATGGCCGCCATCAAATGTCTTCAAAGCCTTAAGCACCTCCTCAATGTCCGGATCATCTAGCCCAGGGCCGGCATTTCCGAATTTAAGGAAATTAATAGAACTAGAGGTGCTTTGCGGTGTCATCTGTTGAAGAGGCTGCTGCTGGGTTCTCGTCGACTGCGGGGAATCCAGCTGAGCATTGAGTGACTGCTGCTGTGGCTTGCTGGGCGTGCTTGGCGTCTCCTGTACCGGTGGTGGAACAGGAGGTGCCACAGGATTCTCCTCGGCCACTACACTGGCATTGCCATCCAGTTGGCTGAGACGCTCTAAAACAGTAAGCCAAAACAAAGTAACATTTAATATAGACGTTTCATTTTGAATAACCCCATTGACCTACCCTCTATGTTATCTGTTTCTATCTTAGTCTCCTCCGCTGAAGATATCGGTGTATCTCCCGGTAAACCGCTCCCAGAATTTGCAGAGCTGGTAGCCACGGCCATTACCGAGGAAGGAGTGGCCAGTTCCTTGCCCAGACTCACATCGGGCAAGGTTTTCCTCAGGCATATCTCCGCGGAGATGGTATCCTCCAAGTTGATGGTCAGGTCCGCCAGCAGTTGGGCCGTGGAATTGTCCTTGGGAGTGGAGCTGTGGCAGGTGGATGTGCTGCTGCTGTTGTTGTTGTGCTCCACGGTTGAAGTGGAAGCCACCGGTGCATCCGTCGTGGGATTCGGCGTACCGCTGCTGTGCGGAGTGGGGGCTGTGCTCAAACCCATTGGATCATTATTGGCTTTAATGACGCCGGACCTCCTTTTGTTATTGATTGCTGGTGATGATCGCTGCTGCGACGGAACGGCTACAGAGGCCGCCGCGGTTGATGAGCGTGTGACTCTTGTGGTGGCCGTAGCCGGCGTGGGAGTTGCCGGCTTTTTGGCCCCTCCGATCGCTCCTCCAACTCCTCCGCTTTCCGAGGAGCTGCGGGCCGAGGGCGAGGCTGTGCTGGTTAGCTTCTCCTTTGGACTTAGTGGCTCGGCTGTGAGCGCTGGGGCCATCGTTCTGATGCTAATGCGTCGACCGGCTTTTGCGGCATTTGGTCCGCGCGACTCCTAGGGTATCTCGATGCTAATCCTGTCGAGAATTCGAAAAACGGTTAATTATTTCGACAAAACGACAGGCAATTCAACGTTTGGAAAACAAACAAAAGGCACACTATACGGTTTTTTGAATTATCTCGACAGACTGCTGCGTTATCGAGTAAAAATATACTATTTTGTGTACTTTTTCTTTTTATCTCGGTTGAGGCTCCCGCCTCTCAAAGAATTTAAAAATTGGAATCGTTTTGTCTTTTCCGGCGTGTTATGTATATATGCTACATTTATATACACGCACACACATATTGCTACGCTCAGAGAGCCAATGAGAGTGAGAGAGAGGTCAGAACGCGCGCTATTGCACACCATGATGCGCAATAAAAAAAACTGTATAGAACTCGCACAAACACACACGCACAGGCAGGCAGACTACTTTACATACTGACGAAATCATTGCGTTTGCTCTCGAAAATCACAATTTTTTCATCATCTGTTGGCGGGAAATTGCCGCTTAAGCCTCCATGTCTTTATGTAATTCCGTTTATTGAGTTTTTCCACCACAATAAGAAAAACCAAACGGAAACCCGCGCCTTTACACACAAACACACACTCAAGCACACGCACACGTGCAATTGTGTGCTCCACTATTTTCAGTTATTTACACAATCACATTTATTGTATTCCACATGTCTGCATTCGAATTTCCGATTTGAAAATCGGTTAAATGTGCTGTGAACTTCATATTTTGGTTCAGACTCGAGCAAAAGGCAGTAGAAAAAGATTTTCAGCGCGAAAGTACTCGTACTCACTAACACCTTCACACACTGACGGGAGGCAGGCAGCACGCAAGAATTTTAAATTGCTTAAAAATTAAGTAGTATTTTGTTCGTTATACGCACTATTCGGCCGTTCCGCGAAAAATGTCGCACAATTGGTAAAAACTTTTGCTTACACAATGGCGTGACTCGCACTGGGGGAATTACGGTACGGTTCTAGCTTCACGGATTCTTTTCCTCATTTATTTTTTTCATTGCTTTTACTGCCCTGCTACGCTTTTGGCAAAACGACGTGTATCGAAGCTGTACTCTACTCTTTTCTGTGCCAGACCAAAGTGCGCTGTCGCCTAGACGGCTGTCTCGCTCTCTCATGTGCACCGCCTATGGCGATGGCTCAGCACAGGGCCGTATGTGCGAGCGGGACGGCCAGTGGGCATGGCTGTATGGCAGAGCTGCAGAACTACCGATTGGTATTGTAACATATCGAGTAGGTACTAATTAAGTCAGTATCGATATTATTTTGTTTAAATTGTATTTTCGTATTACAAATAAAAAAGGAAAATCATACCCATTGTTGTTATTCATAGTTTTTATAAGAAGCGCAGATTATCGAACTAGTGGAGTGGTTTACCGCATTAATGAACACTGAGCAAATATCCGAATAACTTCATTACATAATAATGAAACAGAAAGTAATTTTTGAGCCATAAACGATTCCTTTTAATTTAAAATAATAATTCAAATTGGCGCTCAACATATTGTGATAGATTTTGTTTGCATTATTGATATGGCAACGTTGAGCGGCGGGCTGCTACCATAAAATACAGCCCTGTTTTTTTTTTTTTTGTTTTTGTTTTGGGAATACATTTGTTTTGGTTTTTAGTAATTAATAATTTAGCCTCCATTTGCTGGGTTGATGAACCATTTTTAACGTTTAATATCGAAAGAAGTAAACGAATACGTTTCAATTTCCTTGGCTGGAGTAAACTCTGCCTTTGAAATCTTCGAGCTGGGGCTTCCTTTGGTTTCAAGCCAATGCTTCCTGCACATAGTTTGGATATAAAGATTATTTTGCATAAGCCATGGGATATATGAGATTTACATTTCGTTTAGCTCGGCTAGAGGAGCTTCCAGTTGTCCCTTTACCGTTCCATCCCGCGTATTCATACACCAGCCCCTAACACCAAGATTATTGGCCGTCTGTTCCGTGTACTAGAACACAGGGAGTTCAAATCTTTTAGTTTTTTTTTTCAAACGAAATAGGCATCTGTGCACTTACCTTGCGAAAGAAGACACCTGTAACAGTAAATTTAGCGTAGTTAAATAAAAAAGATCGAAAAGATCAGCAAACAAGCTTACCCTGCACTCGTCCAAATACCTCAAAATTGCAGGCAAACAATTGCTTGACAGCGTTTGATCCTGCCATTATTCCGTTGGTATCCGATTTTCGCAGTACTTTTGAACTATCAGCTCCTGTATAATTAAGTAGAGTTAGTAAAAACAAAGCTCTGACAACCAAAATAGAATTATTATAAAATAGTGTCATGGTGACCAGGGCGCCAAAAGAAAACCAGGGTTGCTTACTAAATACCAAAATGTATGGGCTCGTATCAGTGACACAAACCATTTAGCGAATATTCAAAACAATTTTCATCGATATCGTCAGTGGTTATCTGTAACCGAATCTAACCGTTAGAATTCGTCGGCGGACGCGTTCGCCAAATATTTTCGCTTTTAAATTTCTCAAAAAAATACAATTTAAAAGTCAGTAAGTATGGTTATTAAATTGATAAATGTTTGATTTAACTAATTTTACTACTTAACAATAATGCTAGGCAGCAAAAATGTCTGAAATTAGGAAACGGGCTGGCGGGCAACTTGCGAATTCAGTTGCTGTAAAAGTTACAAAGAAAAGTACAGTCGTTGACCCGCGGAGTAGTGAAATCCCAATGGACGCCAAAACTCAACTGGTTTCTAAAAATTCATCCCAACTCCACAATGATTTTAAGAAGAAAACGATCCAAAATGTCTCCCCCTGCGAGACGCCAAAAATGTTCGCGCCAAAAGTTATGCCCCTCGAAGAAACCCCGAAAAAACCCACTACCCCCACCCACCCCTTGGACCAACCAAAAAGAAAGATCAAAAAATTTCCCAACAATCCGGAGAAATTATGGAAAGACGTCCAAAAGTTGTCTCCCGGTACTGGGAGATTATTAGATGACTTCATGAAGCAACATAACAACTCACTCTCAGATCTGAAAAGGAAAGACTTGATCTTAAGCAAGAAAATGCAAACTATTACCATGGAATCTTTGCAGAAAAATACGGAAAATATTAACCTTAAAGAGAAGTAAGACTTTTAAGACAGTTTTTCCCGTAATTAACACTCTGCTTTAGGTTGTCTAACATGGAGCGGGAGCTGACCCTTTTAAAGAAGGACATTTTGGAGCAGCAAGAAAAGAATGCAGAGAGCATTAAAAAGTACATGGAAATCAGCAAAAAGTACACTCATTGTGAGAAAAACTATGACAATGAGCTTGAAATCATTAAAGTGTGTGCGGAGAAGAAAAACACAGAGCTTAAAGCTGCCCAATCTCGAATTGCTCAACTGGATCGCGAGGTAAAAAAAATTGCTACTAGGACAGATCAAAAGACTCTCATAATATATCTTTTTACAGCTGAAGAATATGGAAGAAACCAATCGCGAACTATCTTCCGCACTCGGCAAATGTAATACGGAATTGGAGCAGTCCCTAGTGACCAACAGTCAGATCTTGGAGCATTGTACTGGAATCACGGGGTCATACGAATCCCTAAGGCTACAATTTGAAGATGTAACTGCACAAAAAGAATTATGCGAGGTAGGACTATTGGTTTTTGATACCTAGTTACAAGGAGCTTTACTGATTTATTTGTCCAACAGGCAAACTTCCTACAGCTGAGCACCGAGCTTAATGCAAAAGTGCTTACCTGCGCCGAACTTCAAGATCGCGTTAAACAGCTACCCATTGAAGCCAATAAGGTTTTGTCGGAAGTCCAAAATAAATTGGAAAGCAAAGAATTACTCTATCAGGAGCAGCAACGATTGACGGATCAGGCTACAAAAGACCTCGAACTAGCCCGAAACGAGATAAATACTTATAAAACTCACATAGACCAAATGGAAGTAACCAATGCTTCCCTCAAAGACGAACTTACCAAAATGACGGCTAAATTAAACGAGCTAGTTGATATCAACGAGAGTTATTATAAAGAATTAGCTGAAGCGAAGTTTGCGCACTCTCAAGAAATGAACAAGCAAGCTGTGTCTCACGAGGTAGGTCCAATGTCATAAAAAAGTGTTCCCTTATAATAAGTATTTTTTCTGTGATAGAACGCTCTCCGAGATCTAAAAGGTCTATTGAACAAGGCTTCCCTTGACTATAAAAAGCTAAAGAACAGCAATGATGCACTACGAAAGGAAAACCTACAACAGGTCACTCAACTTCAAGGCCAGCTTAAGGAATTAGAGTTGCAGTGCAACAATCAGAAGGAGATAATAAAAACTAAAGCCGATGAACTTCAGAAGAAAACTGAACTTTTTGAAGAAGAATTGAAAGGACAGAAGGAACAGCTATATCATCAAATTCAAGACAAGACAACTGAGTTTGAAAGTGAAGCTCAGCGCAGCGCAGTTGAAATTCAAACACTTAAAGCTGCCCTAGGGCAAAAGGATGAAATGCTGACAGCTCAGCAAGAGAAGTTTCAAGTTCTGATGAATGACCATGATAACCTACAGCATATCATAGTCGATCTTCAGGCCGATAAGGAAGAAATCGACAATGAATACTCCACTTCAAAGTTAAGATTCACCCAAGAGTTAGAGTCACAAAAGGATAACCTAATGGTATGATAAAAATTACAAATACGAGAGTTTCTAAAATATAATTAACATAATTAATGTTTAAATCATTTATAGAAAAAGATATCTGAATTGGAGCTGGAAGTTAACGTTAAAGCAACAAAATTGATTGAACTGGAACGCGAAAAGAACGTAAGTCTATTAGGGCTGTTATTATTTTTAAAACCTTTTTTCTGATACCTTTTAAACCTTTTATCCAACAGAATGAAATGGCTGTACTCCAATTCAAAATGAATCGAATTAACAGTCTAATCGACCAACCAGTGAGCACAATATCTAAAATACAAGATTCCCATGGACCGTCCAATACTCAAGGCTCAATAAATAAGGTTCAACCGAAAATGTCCGAAGGCGTCGCGGGCCCTTCCAAAAAGCGCACTGTGCGTCGACATCAAATTTCTTCAATACATGGGTCAGACTTTGAAACCGAAGACGAAATGCCTGTAAGTAGTTATTAATTAATATTAGTCTTAATTCTTATTTTAACATATTGTTACAGATTGTAAATCAAAATGTGAGCTCCAAACGGGCCAAAATGTCTGCGGTCGTTAAGCCACAAAATGGGGATGTGTTCGACATGTTAAAGAAAACTACTTAATTAAGCCAACTTAATTAGCCAAGTATAACTTTCTAATAATACTACAAAACAGAATACTAAGTTCATTTTTAAAAATGAATTAAGAATTTTCTAAATCACATTTCATGTATATTTGTAGATTTCTTTAGTAACTTGCCAGGATTTTGCAAGATATTGTCAAGAATATGATTTCTTCTTTATTATCTTCCATTAATTTTTAATTGTTAATCTATAAAATTGTTAAACTATTAAACTAAATCCTTATAACCACCTAAAAATGTTGAATTAAAAGTCAATCATTTTATTATTTACCGAAACGAAGTATCAGTTTTTAATAGGTAACATCTTTGCCCTCGCTTCAGGGAAACACTAAACAGATTTTGAAAGGATACCAAAAATAAAAACACGTAAAAACAATGCGCGGGCGCATAAACTAAGTTTTGATGATCTTTATCAGATGATCCACGTCAGCTGAATCCACTTCGGCGTCCGCTTCTAACCCGGATTGCTCCATTATCTTCTTGGTGCCACTGCCCACGGCAATCAACTTTCGATCCTTCAGCGAAACGTTGTACTTCCCAAAGAACTCCAAGGAACTACGGACACTAGAGGGTCCGAAGAACACAATCGTCTCCAATCGCTTGAACTTGAGGGCATGTCGCATCTGATTAATAAACTCCGGGTGCGACTGACTCTCGTACACCTCGCAGGCATCCACTCGAAATCCTTGGGCAACCAAACGGAGACGCAGTGTCTGCCCAACGCCATTGCCACAGGGCATTAGTAAAGGCAGATCTCTCTTGGGTCCAAAAGTCTCAACGATCAGATCGCACAGATTATTTGCATTTACAGCGTGATCGCCCAGAGTTATTAGATTCTGCAATGTAAACCAAGCCGAGCTGTGGGTGTTCTTTCCCAGAGAATAATTGTGCAAGGCACGCCAGCAACTTGGAAGGGGCGCCTTTTCGAGAGCCTCGCTAACAGCCTGGACACATCGAGGTGTTGCAAAGATAATCCCAGCATACTTGTGGGGTTCCAGCAGTTTCGCCTGTAATTGCTTCAGATTCTTGAACACAAAATGCGTTGGAGCAATGAATATAGGATCCAGATTATGACTGCGCAAAGCTGAACCATAAAAGTCACTGGAGGATGGGACCTTAAGCAGTATAACCGGTCGCTTTACGCGATCTCCCATGGCTCAAAAGAAATTTATTCGGAGTAAACTAAGAAAGGAAAAATTTGATAATCTGCTTTAAGCGTTTGATTTATGGAGCGTTTGAATTGTAACGGAATTCAACAAGCAATGCCTAAAAAAAAAAAACTGAAAACTATCGCCGCGCATATACAAAATCGATTTTCAAATAGGTTGTTTAAAAACTTTAAAGATTGGGAAGTTTTCCTAATGCTGATATGAACCGATAGGTTAAATCGCAAAAGAGATTATATCTATTTCCAATTTCATTTCCCATTCCAACCTTACTTAAAAACTACTCAGTACTTTCTGGAATGTTATCACAAGCATTTTGCATCGCAATAATTTATAATTTTTACACATTTATATGGAAAACAAGTGAGTTAGAGACATAAACCAAGCAATCGTAAAAGTAGAAAGTACAACAATAAATTTAAATCCGTCTAGACAGCGCCCATTTGCAGAATGGGCGTGAATAGTTTGTATGCCTTTTCGATGAACTGCACGGCAGATAGCATTTCGGAGAAGAATGTACTGACGCGGGCCTTGGCTTCTTCCGGTTCCGGTTTGCTGCTCAGAACGGCAGCGTAACGGTGACTAAGTCCTTGGAGGTGACCATTAAACTGCTGGCAGAGATTGACCACGCCGTCCACTTCGTTGGCAGTGCTGTGATGTGGTTTTACCAGCAACAGCTCGGCGATCTTGTGCAGTTTGCACACCTCGAGGGCGCATGCTTCGCTCAGGGCGTGGATGCTTTTAGCATAAGCCTGCTCCAGATCGCTGGAAGTTGCTTCTTCCGAGCTTAGCCAATCAAGGGACTGTGTCCAGTGTCTGTAAGATACGTTTATGTTTAAAAGAATCTAATTTGCCTTGAGAATAAAGCTACCCACTTAGCTATATCCTCAAACTGAATTCCCAGCTCGGCGTCCTTAATGGTGGCAGCCAGTCGCTCGCTCAATTCCTCCGCTTCGTAATCGCCCTCGCTCTCCACATCCAGATCTTCCAGTTCCAGCAGCTCCTTCACCTCATTTATGGTCTCTTGCAGTTCAGCAAGGGCACTGCCACTGACAGCATCCAAGAGCGTGTCTAGCTTGAGGCGGGATTCCTTGGACAGGATCTCCAATGCCTCGAAATGCACTAGGCCGCAGTAGTGCTCGAACAAGACCTCGAATCGCAGTTGAGCCTTCTGCCTCTCCAACTGCAGCTGCTGCAGGGATTGCTCCATTTGGTCGGCATCTTTCTTCGCCTCCAAAAGAACGGCACTAAGATTGGGTGAGTTGGTCTCCAGGCCGAGAAGTTTTCTCTTGTTCATAAGCTTAGGATCGTTATCCTGCAGGATGGTCATAGTCTTCTTGCCAATGCCTTCCAGTGTGTCTAGCCCAGTGTTTAGAACCTTGGTCCCGAGATTGGTGACGAAACCGAGGCCAAATCCTGCATTTTCATTTTCATCTTCGATTGGTTCCTCAGGAGTCTGTTCCTTTTCCTCTGGTGAATCCCTGGCAGCCTTTTCCGCCTTTTCGGCTACATTAATACGAGCTAGTTCCTCGGGATCGGGCACACCTATGATCTGATTCAGACCCTGGTTAACTTGTGTGGTTATCGTTCCCAGTCCTTCTGTGGCGGTGCTCAGAACAGAACTAAGTTTTCCACCCCACAGACCCCAGGACGATGAGGCGGGCGTCGTGGCTGGAGGAGCTCCTGGAGATCCCAACTTTTCTTGATTTTCCACTACTGCTTTTGCGTCGTTTCTGCTCGAGACTTTCTCCTCCGGCTGTTGTTCCTTCTCAACATGAACGAACTTGTCCTCGTCATCACCCCAGTCGTCCCAGTTATCGTCCTCATCACTTTGAGCCCAGTCGTTACTGGCATCGTCATCCTTTTTCGGATTTTTAGCCATTATTTGTTTGTTTGAGCTCCACGTAGAAGTTTAGAATTTGCTTGCTCCCAGGGGGTGGGCTGCCAACTCGCTGTGGAGAAACCAGCTGTTAATCTAGGGCCTGCCAACTCGCTGCTTAATCGATAACTTTGGCGCGCTTATCGAAATTTGAAATTCAAGTTTTTAATATTAGTTAATTAATAATTGTTGACATAGTGTTAGAAGATGTTTATACTTTGCTATTTTTTATATTTTTTTTTTTATTAATATTGTAGCATAAATACAAGTTAAAATAAGAAATAAGTGAACTGAATTGTTATTAATAACTACATATCGTTATCAGGGTTGTACCTATGTATGTGTGTCATTAAGGTATTTCCCGGCATTAAGTTAATAAAATCGAATGATTCTTAAAGCAATATGAATTTATGTAAAATTTCAATATTTTTAAACTTGCCCCTTATGCTCTGTAAATGTATAAACATATGTTGCCATTGAATCGTTTGACTTTTGCTCTTATTAGGAAACCATAAATAATTTGTACTGCCCAAATTCCTTGGCCAGGCTTCATGCACACCACTCCATCGTGACACCCACATATGTACGCTCAAACCCACATACACACACACTGTTGTCAATGCATACAAATTGAATTGATATTAGTTTGTGAAATATTTAAGCTGCCAAATGCCAAACAAATGTGTGGAGTGTGTGCGTGTGTGTACGTGTGCAGAGCTTTGCCCCTACTTAGGCACCTGTTTTTCCCAGTTTTCCATGTAAATTCCACTTTTTCATGGGCCTTCGTTTGTTTCTTATTGCGATGAGATGGGAATTTGTATTCTAATTTTCAAATAAAATGCAAACATTATTGTTTTGTCCTTTTGTGGATAATTCGAACTTTGTTTCTTTGGGTTTCTTATTGTAGTTGTTGGCACAAAGAAAATGGCAAATTATCCTAACAACTTTATTACTTCATTGACATGGGATTTGATTGTTTGTTATTGGATTTATTTTATATTTTCTTACATTTTTAATATTTTGACAAGCTGATATGTAATAAAAGTTAACTTAATTAAGCATATAAATTTAAGAAAAGGTTTTTTGGTATATTTTCTTAGTCGTTTTAGTTCTATTCAATGTCAACGTGTTTCTTGGCAAACTTTCTGGTTTTTGCCAAAATTGTCCCACATCTAACTGGGCTCATAAATTAGAAAATCACACAAGCACGTATACAAATGAATGTTCATCAGGCCAAAAACCGAAAAGTTTTCCTAGCTGAGCTAACCAGCATATAAATTTGACAGCAACGTTGAAGCAGCGCAAAATTAACAAACCAACACAATTTGCTTTACGCACACTAACACAGTCGCTACCACACACTCGCACACACACACCTTTCGCATAAACATGGAATTTTCATAAACTTGCAGCACACTTTTAGTCAGCCGCTGCCACAGAGTTTTCCAGCAAGAAGGAACCACACAAATATTTCGTCAAGCCAGGAAATTTATCTTCCGTGGGAGAGAGCACTATCTTCCTCCGTGATATGAGTAATTTTTTAATTAAAATCTTCAAAAAAAAAAAATGTGTAGTTCCTTTTCCGCAGAAACCAAATAACCGCTAAAATGTGAGTTAAGAAATAAAATACCTTTGTATGCCATTGCATTTCTCAGTGAAATTGCCTTAAAATGGCGCTGTTAACTCAAACCATCTCACTTGAGGGTGGTAATTGCATGATCTGTGTCTTGTCTGGGCCAAAAATGAAAAGTAAAATTTGCCAGCAGATAGGTTAACATGTGGGTAGGATAAATTAGCATTGACAGTTGTCTGGAAATTTTAAGAAGGGGTGTGAAATTTCGGGGGAAAACTTAGGTTGGGAAATCACTAATCACTATGATGATGAGAAATCGTGAAAAGGAAATTGTTTCTTAATTAAGCAAGTTTATTGCTATTTTACAGCATTCCTTTGTCTATCTTAAATGTTGATTCTTAAATTTGAATAGATTTCTGAGGCATGAGGAATGGTCCCTAACCTTGATTTCTTATACCCAGTCCCTGCTCTTTGATCCTGCCCTTGGCTATCTCCATTATGTTCAACAATTTTCTCTATCTCATGTACAAAATGAAATCCACGTTGTAACCAAAAATACAAACATACAATCTATTGGCAATGTATTGATGAAATTAAACCTGGAAATTTGTTTTAACTATGGGCAAACATGAGAAAAGTGGGCCAGGTTGTTTGGAAGCCCGAGGAGATGGCAACATTGATGAGACTCCTTCACAAAAACGCTCACACACATCTGTCAACTAGCATCTTTGTCAGCCAACTAATATCTGTAGAGGAGCTACATACGTTGCTGTGACACCCAAATCTGCTTCACCCTACCAGTTTCTATCCCAGGACAACAATGTTATTGATACCTCTGCCAAAACCCCGAACAAACAAGAGAACCCTTTTGGCAAGTTCCCTCGAGCATATTGTCTCAGTGTCTCCGTGTGTCTGTTCAAATTTTATTCCCATCGACTTGATGTTTCTTTGTGAAGAGTTTTGCCATTGACAATAAACCAAACTTCCAGCTGTTTATTAACATGTTTCTCAGTCAATATATATATATACCCATCTACATCTATAAGTATATATATGTATATATACATTCAATGCCAAATTGATGTTACTGTGATGAGATGGTTGAAGGGGTGAGGCAAAGTGATGGAATCCGGACCCGGAACACATATCTCTGTCCTACAAGTATCGCTTTACAAGTGGAAAAATTCCTTTAGGCCAAAGTGTGCATTAAGAAGATTGTTTTACTATTGTTGTAAGACACCCAAAACGCACACATTTATCTATACTTATAAATACCAACGCCCTCACGAAGATACTTTAACTACATGAATAATGAAAGTACTGAGAGAAAATGAGGCAACTAAAAGGTGAAAAAAGAAATTTATAAAAGTACCTAAAAGTATGCAATAATATATTGAATGTCAGAGGGGAAGACTTTCGTTTTCTTACAAAAAAACATATTTAAATATTTTATTGATTCAGAGTTACAAATTTTGCCCAGTGCAGCCGCACGAAACTTGCCCACAGGCGAATGCTTCTTGTTCTTCTCGTCCTTCGTCCCTCGTCCTGCTTCCTGCCACTTCGCCCATTTTCTTCTTCGGCATCTAGAACAGCTTCCTTGCTGTTGTCATTCCACTCAACAAAAGGATTCAAATTTCATTAAATCTCATACAAAAGTATCAAAATGCCATTGTTGTCATGGTGCTACCCACTCACACACACACACTATACACAAACACACACACACACACACTGCAAGGACCTTCGCTGTAACTTACACAGACACATTTGAGAAACTGGGACTGGAAGGCTTGACGTCTTTAGCTATTGGTAACTGCTTTCACTTTGGGCCTTTCATTCGATTTACGTTTGAAGTTACCCCCATATGTGCCCATGTTTGCCTAGGAGGCGTGTCCTGATCGCTATCAGCTGTAATGGAAAACTTAATAGACAAGCGTCGGAAATAAACTCGGAAAGGACTTTTCAGACCTGCTACGTTAATCGCAGCAATTGCACTCGTTTTGATTGCCTTTACCTTCTTTAGATAATCCCCAGAAAATCAGATATTACTCGCAATACTGTGATATTTATGATCTGATTAAATTGGTTTGTGGGAAATCACACCTGTCGGTGTGGCATTAATACTTATTGAGGGGCTGTAAGCTTATTACTTTCAGTCCACTCGGTCGTAGTTTTGGGAAAATAGTTTGCTACCACAACTCGATTAAGCCAACTGTAAGTATCTGTCCCACTGGAAGGAGTAACTTTATAAACAGGTTTCATATTTTACCCTATTAGGTTCTTCTTATGTATTAAAATTTCACTAAAATGTTATCCTAACATCCTTTATTTTGGTTTACCATTAATACATTAATCAAAAATTAATTGCTTAGTTTATCTATTGGGTTATATGCATCCCTAACTATATGGTTTTTGAGGAAAACTGGCTGTGTGGTAATCAGACTTTTCCACTCCAAGGAAAAACCCAAGCCAACGTGTCTCTTTATCGTTACAACTTTTTTTTTCGGAGAAAGGCAAACTTTTCAAATTGCTTTCGCATTAAAAATCACTAAAATGCGTTTTCCGCTTCACTGCAACCAGGTCGTTATGTGGCACACTGTACATATTACGTATACGTATATATATACACACCCTGTGTGTGTTGGCTTACTTCAAGTGTCATTAAGTTTTCGGTGATCACCCCTGTCCTCAATATTCGGTTTCTTTCAGTTTTCGTCAAGTCATCAAGGTTTGGTCTCTCACAAAAGTTTAACATCCCGCCCTCTCAATAACTGCCTGTGTGTGTGTGTGTGTGTGTGGGCGTGGCCTTTCGGATTAAACATTTATATGGTGACTAAAGGAAGAAGCCACAGGATGATAGTCGAAACTTGGCCACAATAAAATTGCTGTAAACAATGTGGGCCAACCGAACAAATTTTCATAAGCTCTACCCAGGCAGCCCTTCATCCTTCGACCTCGAATAAAACCGCAAATCATTGGCCAGTCCTCTAGGATTTTAGTCCAGATAACTGACCAGAAATATTACACATACGCCATGTGAGCTTTATCGGACGAGGAGGCAATTTATTTTCTATGGCTTGCCAGGCATTTGGAAGTTTATAATTTTTGAAATTTACTTAAATTTAGAGCTGTTGCTTGGTGTTGTTTGTCGTAACAGAGATTAAGCTCGATTAGGTTTTAAATGAGATTAAATTTAGGTTTAGTAATGGAACTAAAATTTAGATATATTTATTTTTGATTGTGGTATTAGATTGCACATTTAATTTGATTGATTTCTTTATTTGAACTTACATATTTAAGAGCAGTTTAAAGAACTTTGGCTTAAGGTGATGTATCTTTGATGTATAACCCAGTCAGGTCTACTGAAAAACCTTGAAATAATCCACAGATTTCCTCAGCAATCCTTTCGAATTGTTCTTCAATCTTTCGTCGTTTGACAATCATTACTGCTTTGAATCCCATAAGAAATCACGTTCCGGGCGGTTTGCAAATGTCAACGAGAAGAACGAAATGATGCCACCAATGCCACGCATGCCACTAATGAGGCTCGTTAGCGTGGTCATCCAGCTGGCTTCCCCTTTTCTACCCACATGAACCCCTTCGCCCATTCATATACACAAGTTCACATCCACATCCCATGTCCACATCAACATCCACCCACATCGACTCATTCGGCGGGTAATGTATGCAACAAGCCGAATTGTACAAATGTACGAGTACCAGGCAAATCGATAAAGTAATTTGGCCCAAAATTCTTCCCTCCCCTTACCATTTCGCGAACATTTGGCCACATAATTTTGTTTGGCAGAGCAGCACGTAGCCGATGACTGAGTGACTGAGAGAGAGAGAGAGGGAAGCCCGGGGAACGACTACGGATTCGGATGGGTTCGCCTAATTGCAGCACCATCTTGCGGTTATGCGTTCTACGTGCGTTTGTCGCACGTCTGGCTAATTAAAATTGCATTTTTCGTACCCTGAGCACAGGTTATTGATATGATGGGAGGATATATATCCTTGTATATCTATATATATATATATGGACAGACATGGATACTGCACAAATACGTACATTGGTTTGACGTGGCACCAGTTGGTCATCGTTGATGCTGGTCAGTGTAAGTGTCTTCTGCGGGTTTGATGAAGTGGCTCTGGTTTATGGTGATGGGAAAAAAAAAAGTTATATTAGGGGATAAATATTTTGAACAGAAAGGAAAGGATATGTAAGAAAAATGTATATAATTAAGAGGGTTATTTAAATAGGTAAAGTAAGTAAGGTAAAACCTGTTAAATTTTCTTGATTAAACTTTTTTCATGAAATATATTAAAAATTTCTAACAAACTCTTCATCTTTAAACCTTTTACAGTTTTTTAAAGCATTTAAACAGATTTTCCACACTCACTCAACCCATTTATCTCCTTAAATGAAAGCCTTTCTCTGTGGACGCTTACAGCCTTTCACCATCTGCATAAAATCAATCAAATTTACTGGATAACTTAAAAGGGTCAGGGACCTCCGACATCCCCAATAGGCCTAATTAATTGATTGAAGACGTCGTCACTGGTATTGGCGTTGCTTTGGTTTCGGTCACCATCTACTACTCAGGGGTCACAGTTGCAACTGTCATAATATTGACTCATTGCCGTTGTAATTAATGGTGTTAAGACTCGCACGCCATTTTAATGCAATCGAATTGACAGGCGGCATCCGTTTTGCGTCGACTGCATTTCCCTCCCATTGAGCCATCGTCTGGGGGATATTGATTTCAATTATAATGATGTAACACACACACAATGAAAGTTGAACCTCCTCATCGACCGACATTTCGGTTACTGCGCCCCACCGCCCGAACAACCCAGAGTTGGCCCCAAAGGCATGTTAACTAATTGTTAACCTTCTGGTTTGTGTTTCGAATATTAAATAGAAGAACGAACGAGTTTCCCACAGGAAAGTCCAGCAGCAGTCATTAATTCAACAGCTAGGGAGTCAAATTCTAATGGCTGAAATATCGATGAAGTGGAGAGTTCGCTCTTTAAATGGGTAACAGATGTGACGAGGCAGTTGAGTAAACTTAATTAGGAAATTTCCTGATTTTATTCCAAAATGTATAGTTTATTGTCTGAAATAGTCAAAGAATCTAGCACAAGACTACAAATTTACCAAGAATCTGAACATATCAATAATCATCAAAGCTATCATCGCTTTCCAAATCGATTTTGCCTATGTGAGTTTCTGGGCATTTGGGTTTGGAGACAGCCAACACCGTTTCATCATCCGATTTAGAGCTACTTTTGCATTGAACTTGCAATCTTCTGGGGGATTTCCAATTAGACTTTTTGGAACCTTCTTTCTTGTCGCCCACAGAAGCGTTATCACCACATCCTATCTTGGAGGAACTTGGAATATTATCGGAATTAGCTTCCCGCTCATATTGCCTGAATAGACTCTCTGCCAGATTTTGTTTGGCATCATAGGGACCTTCTTCGCCATGGCCAGGAGCATATTTACCCTCTGCCGGCAGATCATCAATGAAAAATTGCCTATCTGGAATATCCTTATAGGCATCACTGTCCTCCGACTCCTCTTCGCTGTAATCTGTTTCCAGGATATCAGATTCAGAGCTATCTATGATAACCTTTGATTCCTCTTTCTGGATGGATCGAGGTGGTGGTGAAGGCTTCTTGGGAGTAATGGGTACCCTCATCCGTTCATTGCTAATGAGTTTTCGATTGTTTTGGATTAGTTTGTTTGGTTTGTTATCTTTTTGAGTTTGTCGAACTTCTAGTTCCTTCTTCAACTTGCAGCATTTTTGTGGCTTGGAATTGACAGGATCTGGAAGGTTAATCACCTTTTTGGCACCAACTTTATCTGTCTTGATCCAATCTCGCATTATAAGTTGAGCCAAAAGAGGAAGATCCTTAGATTCGGGTGTGATTGAAAGACTTTTCTCTATTTCACTGCGATTGGCCAGAGTCTCACCCGTTTCCATGCGAAATGTTTCCAGGGTGTGCTTATAGCCAAACCAATGAAAGAACTCCATAACCAGTTGGTTTATTAACCTGATCAGGCTTCGATCTTGAGATAGTTTGGTTGCACTGGATGCTCTACCCATTAAGGGTTGAGTTTTGGATCCTTCCAACTGACCCCGCATTATCTTAAGGATCTTAACGTGCATCTCACTTCGCAGGACAGCCATGGCTCCAGTTTTCTCCAACTCACTTTTGATGTTCTCCTCTACCATTTGCTCATAGGCAGCCTCTAATTTAATCTCATCCGAACTCATGTTTCTCAACTTTCTTACACAAATTTAAAGAATCTAAATAATAAATTTATAAATTTCACTTGTCCTTGGCAATTTGTGTACGTTCAATTTGAGTTTGTGTACTGCTGTGGGCAGATGTTGGATTTTCATTTAAGCCATTTTTCACACAGCCTCCTGAATATCAGAGTTCGTTCTAATTCATTTGGCCTGTGGCCAGGTTTTCCTTCTAAAGTCTGCAAAGTTTATTTCACTTCTTTTACTGGCCAAATCAGTTCAACTCGTTAATCATGCAGATAACCTTGAGGTTTCTGGCCAGTCTGTGCATATATTAGCCATTAGTTAAGGCTTGGCATTTGGATGTGATTTTTATTTGAACGTTTTGTACATTTTTTGAGGAGGTGTTTTGATAGGAAAAAAAGCTATTATAAATGTCAAAATTCTTCAACAATTCATTTTATTTAAGCTTATTAAACACACCTTAAGATATACCTTAAATTACTGCTTGCCTAAGGTTATCCTTGGCTTAGTAAGAGCCTTTAAGTGCTACAAGGATAATCAGGCAAATTAATACTTCTATAAGAACTGGAAAAAGGCTCAAGGAGAAATTTGTAGAAAGACGAAATATATACAAAACTTTATCAGGATCAACTTCAGGGGGGGGTGTCGTTTTTTTCTTTTCTGGGGGTGGCAAAGAATTTTTCTTTTCATTTATTTGTAGGTGCTGGGGAAAAAGTTTGCTCAGCAATTGAGCCAAAGAAATATTTAATAACTATTTTCTTGCTGGTTGCTTTTTTTTTTCGAACTTGTTGGAAAAACTTCTCTTTGCATTTGCTTTTAATTTTTGTAATGGAATTGTTAAGAGCGGATAGCCAGGCAGAGGAGGAGGGTTAGTCACAGGGAGCAGCTGATTTATAGTCAGCCAAAAGTTTTTTGAGTACAAAAATTCATCGGTGAAAAATGCCAGCCGCATTTGGCCTTAAAGTTTCCAAACTCCCTGGCTCTTGTTTAAATATTTGTCCAACTAATTAGCAAAAGTGTTGGCAAAATAACAAAAAAAATTTGGAAGATATATATATATCTATATATTTTAAGCTCAATGCTGCGCCATTTCCGGTTTATCTCTCAGCTAAATTTTGTTGGTTGTAAAAGCAAAAGCAAAGCCAATTAGGCAAAATGGCTGCGACACATTTCCGCTGGTTTGCTGAGCCATCGCCATCGCCATTGCCAGTTAAGTGATGCCGGGGTCAAGACCTGACCTGCCCTGTTATGGCCTTAAATAGGATTGGAAGTGATACTTTTTGCTGAACAGATTTCTAAAGTTATTCTTTGTTTGATTTTTTCTTATAAAAATAGGAAGGGGAAGGAAGGAGTTTTGTTTAACTATGAAGGAAAAATATATTTTTATACTTTTTTAGATCTTTTTTTATAATTTTTAAGTTTGTTCTTTATTTTTTAGTTATTAAAAGTAAGCAGTTAAGTTTAAGTCAGCAGTTTGTAGGCTAATTTTTCCATCTAGCGAATTCCTTTTCATTTCTAAAAGGTTTTCCTATGCATTTTTTTTTAATTTTACCTTTTTAATTTGTTTTTAATATTTATTATTTATATTCCTTAACTTCCAAAGAGCATTCAAAGTTTGTTAATTCCCTAGAAAAGGCTTTCCCTTTGCTATTATCATTCGAGTATTGTTGTTATTGCTGTGACACTTTCGCATTTTGCTAATCGCATTAATTATGCGTTTCTCTGATTTGCTGCTGGGCCTCCGTTTCAGTTGCTGTTAGAGTTTCAGGGACTGAATGTGTATCCTTTGGGCCTGCAGGCAACGAAATGGCCAACAAATTGAACAAAAGCAAACTGCAGGCAAAGAAAAAGCTGGCTGGCTGGCTGGCTGACTATAGGGGCCAATGGAGGAATACTTACTGTACTGGAGGTGGAGGCCACTTTTCAAGCATAATTGCCTCTCAAGGGAATTAAATTGAGCGAAGAATTTCGTTGGCAGCGCGTCAGAGGCAACAAAAGATGAAGACTGGATTTTATTTCATTAATTATCAATTAGTTTTCGAAAGTTCTTCCCTCTGATTTATTAAGTGGACAGTGGCTGAGTCCTCGAAGGCTGGCATAACTTTTCGAAATTCCAGCCACAATTTGCTTGATAAAATTCCTCTTAAATTAATTAGCCAAAGTGTTTTGTGTTGTGTGTGTTAGCCGCAAATTAATCAGTAATCAAGACAATTCCATACAAATTAGTATCCTTTTTCAGCTCTCAAAAGCTTAAACTTCTAATCAAATGAGATTTCAAAATCAATTTTCATTTTTGACTTTTGTTTTTGCGGCTAACCAAATTATCTTTGATTATTTAAATTGGTTAGCAGTTTGGCTTAAATTCACTTAAGTTTCATAGCCCCTGACAGCTGTCCACAAGTGACAAGTTCTCAAGTTAATCTTGTAAATAATTGATTTAAAATCTTTCTTTCTTCACAAAACTGCATTTCGCATGTAATAGAGCTTAATAAAATATTTAATTAATTGAATTATTTAAAACTATTAATGTGCTTCCGTATGGTTTTGATCATGGCCTCAGCCTGTGAGTTGGATGAGTCCCGCAAAATGCCAATAACCTCTGAGATGCCACCACCAGGACGTCCTCTTTGGGCTTTGGTACACAAGGCAAAGAGAACGCCAGCACAGGCTCCTCTTTTGCCCTCCCAATTCTCAGGACTGGGATCGAGTCTATAACAAGAAATTATACTTAATCTTTACGTTTTTATCATTAACTAAAGGGTGGCCCATGAAAGATTTGCGTTTTAAAATGAAAATATTAATATTTCCCAATTTTCTTCGAGCATAATCTTAACCATTTCGTAAACCGCAAACCTTCTACTAAATATCTGTCACATTGACAATGACATTCAAAATGTTAAAGTCAAAATTATCGATAGTTCAAAAAGCAAACGCTACATGGGCCACCCTGTAGTTCTACTTACTTTTCCAACATATCAAAAGCTTTGGCTGCCACCCAGAACTCAGCACATTTATAACACTCATTAGCTATCAATTGCAAAAGAATAAAAGCCTCGGCATTGGTATCTCTAGTAATGAAAACATTCCAAGCCAACTCCGGATGACCACAGTGAATGTGACACTTGGCCAGGATCATGCAGTAGGTATGCTGATTCTTAATATCCATGTCACTGATCTGCATGAGCAGCTCCTCTGCCTCTTTGTAATAGCCTGTGGCGCATTTTGCTTGTGCAAAATTATAGTTAAAAACATCATCATTAACAAAGTAACTCCTAATGGAGTTCATGTAGACTAGAACCTCCTCAAACTGTTCGTAGAGGAAAAAGGCAGAGGCCATACTTTGACGACCAGGAATCGTATCACATTCTGTGGCCGAACTTCCCACCAAATGAAGATTCTGCTGGGCTGTCTTGATGTGTTCTTTCTGGAAAGGAAATAAAATTACCAATAAACCTAAATTATGTAATAGAGATATCTTTACCGATCCCAATTGCTGACCCAGTGCAGCATGAACCACACCCTTGAGTATGTACTCATGCGGCGATGTTGGCTGAAGTTCCTTCATCAGAGCATGGGCCTCTTGGACATCTCCTTGCTTGAGATAATATATAGCCAGATTAAGACGAGCCTCGGGAATGATATTTAGCAGTCCTGGTAGAACACGCAAAGCACCTTCACCATTCCGGAAAACAACCAAGTTATGACGCAGAAGATCTGCACCAAAAGTGCCATTATCAGCAATATTCTTGATTTCCTGCTCGGCCACACGACCGTTGAATAAGCGAAAGCGATTGCAGGCTTTCAAGTTGATGGCAATGGTGCTATCGCCATGCTGACTCAGATATACATCTAAGACCTCCTGGGACATGTCATAATAGTCCAACTTATAGAAACACAAAGCCAAGTAGACATTTATGGCCTGATAGTCCTTGTTGTCCACCAAAACCCGTTTATACACATCGATGGCCTCCTGATAATGAGCACGCATATAGTGCATAGAAGCCAGGCTGAGCTGTTGCTCTAGGCTAGGGGAATCCTGCATCTCCTCCTGCAGCTGACTCCACTCCGCTTCGTTGCCCAGCTTGTGGGCCAAATGGAAGAGGAGCCGCTTCTTCAGTGGGTTTTCCACAGCATTTTCCATCAGTTGCTGGGCGTCCTCGTATAAGCCCAAGTAGAACATGCAAACGGCCAGGTTGAGTTCCAATTTGCCATCCGGATTCGTGGAGCTCAGCTGAATGGTCTTGTATTGGGCCAGAGCCTGGTGGTAGTCACCCAAATGGAAATTGCAAAAGGCAATCCATTGATCAACTTGACTTTGCTTGGGTCCATGGGCGCCCTCCTCCTCGTCCTCTTCGTCGTTGGCGTACTAGAATGGGTTAATTATGTTTTAAAATTTATTTATATTACTGTTTTTAGGGGTTAAATATTTTATAAAAGAATCTATAAAGGTTTAGTCTAAAAATAAATCAAATTTCGCACTTTTTTGGGCAGCAGAAAAGTTATTAACCAAGTTATAAGCCCTTTTTCAGACTTAAACTGATAAATGCCGTTAATAAAAATCTTAAAAATTCACGTCACTAATCTAATAATGACTAATAAAAGCGGGGTATACTAAAAGTAAAAACAAAATGCAAAAATTAGCTAATCAAAAAACAAGTCTCAGCAAGCTGCAGATACTAAACAGGTCGAAACTTAGCATACATAGCAAGTTGATATTTTATCAACTAACTAATTTTATGCTTTAAGGTAGCACAAAGTCAGTTATCAATAAAAACTCCATCAAAAAAAAACTATATCTTAATTCATGGTTTCAACTTCAAAACTCTTTAATTTAATCCAATGGGCATTTGATGAAAAGTCTTTCAAGAAACCAATGCCCAGCCAATCAATAACGTAAATCGATTAATGTATTCGGACTAAGAGATGCAAAATTATACGCGTCATTAATTAATAAGTAATTCAGAAACGAGTCTAGGCCAACACGAATGGCTATGAAACGGGTATAAAAGAAGCTGGCATCTAGTCAGATTGCTTAGTGATCTCCTACCATGAAGTTCTTGGCCCTGTTTGTGTTTTTGTTAATCGCTTTGTTTGCCGTTAAAGCAGATCCTCTATCGCCTTCGTTCCTGCAATGTCTCGATGAAATAAGTGATCCGGAACTTTGTGAGAACTTCAAGGATCAGTTTCCCGAAGAGGCCCCAGCAGTACCTGTCGATTTATATACACAGGCAGATAATTCTGGATAATTTCTGCTTAATTTACTTTCACTTTTGTTTGATTGATTTACGATAGAAAAACCCGAAATGGAGCTAAATAATTTATTGAGCTGAAGGTGGAGAACAGCTCTGTGGATTTACTAGTTAAATGAATAAAAAATTTCAATTTTATTTTTGCTGTTCGATTTGTTTCTGTTTCTTCTCACATCTGGAGTCGATTTGGCACCGCTTAACCTGTTATCAAACATTTTAGTTGATCAACAAAATACATAAACTAAACTTCACGTGTCCGTCTCTGTTCTCAAACTAATTTAGTGAACTGTTTCTTTGGAATTTCTATCAAGGAAAATACTTTTCTTAAAGTGATCTTACAAAGATTGAAAACTAGTCTTTGGAACTTAAAAAATGTAAATTAGTTTTAGCTGAAGTTAAACATTTCCTTTTGCCGACCAACCTTATTTAGAACCAAACTACTCCTTACCTCCAGAAACGCCCTGGCACCCGTATAGTCCCGCTTGATAATGAAATCCTCCAGAGAGGCCGGTGCCGGGGTCTTTCTCACCTGCCTGCCGACTCCAAGTCCACTGCCCGCACCTCCGCTGGCGTTCCTCGAGCTTGCCGAGTCGGTCTTTCCGCGCGACAATATCTAAGCAAGAGCAGAAGAATCTCTAGAGTATCTGACAACATTTTCCAGTCACATTTCTTACCATTTTTTTGTTTTTTTTCAAGGGATTTTCACTTCTTTACGCCTTGGTATCTGCTGCGTGTTTTGGATTTTCTGTGTTTTGCATTTTCTGTTTTCAACCTGGAAACGCTTGGTTACGGTCGCTTGGCAACCTACATAGCGTCGATAAAGCAGTTCGAGCATGCCTCACTGCGTCCAGAAAGAGCCGTCCTCATGAATTTTCTGTTGTTGCAACCCTATGCGTGTCGTTACTTTCAACTGTAACTGTGAGGAGAAACCAACTGTTGAGCCGGTGGGGTAGTTACCCTTAAGTCGGAGGGTATCTTATTCACTTGTCCAGCTGAGGATGTCCTGATACCTTGTTATATTTGCTTATTTAAGGGATTATTTTTTCTTCATTTCATTGATAACTATTGTAGGTCAAACTACGAGGTGTGTTCAAAAAGTAAGGTGACTCTTCAAATTTCGCGAATTTCAAATTTTTCGATTATCGATTTTTTTGTTTTGTTATATTGGTACACTCTTCCCTAACATCTGTACCAAGTTTCAATGGAACATCCTCTTTTGTTTGGTTGTGAGAGGCGTAAAGTTACAAGTTGTTTTGCGAGCTCGGCGATTTTTTGCTATCGAAAAATATGGATCAAAGGATTTGGATTTTTTGGCCAAAAACAACACCACAATAATGCCTCAGCCACCATATTCACCGGATTTGGCCCCATGTAACTTTTTCTTGTTCCCAAAACTGAAGATAATCGAAAAATTTGAAAAATTTGAAATTTGAAAAGTCACCTTACTTTTTGAACACACCTCGTATAACTTCTAAAAGGTTTCGATAATCGAAAAATTTGAAATTCGCGAAATTTGAAGAGTCACCTTACTTTTTGAACACACCTCGTACTTGACATAAGTTATTAAGAGTTTAAATCATAGTTAAGACCTTTAAATTTGAGTTTTCTTTGATTTTTAAAACCATTTTTCTAATGCCTAGCCTTCTTGCCACTTCAAGAGTATTTGCTGCTCGCTTATAGCTTGCAACAAATGGCACATATTCCTTCTTGTTCCCTAGAATATCATCTGCCGTAAGAAGACTTTGGTCAGATTGTGGCATACAACAACTGTCAGGGAACCAAGGTAGACTTATGGCACGCATTGTTGACACAGTTCCACCCCTTCCCCTACTCTGCCCTGAACTGATGTTTTTGCATTTTGCATTTGCATTTTCATTTTGCCATTTTCTTTATTTATAAGACGCACACGAATCATAAATATGCATCCTGCCTCTAGCTAGAAATGCATGCGTCAATCCAGACGCCTCGTCGCATGTGGCATATACTTTAGAAATTCTTCGTATTTTTCCTCAACTCAGCTGACACTGCATAATGGCCCACAAGCAAACTGTATTCGATTGATGGACATGACTAAGGAATTTTGTTATTCCAAAGCAAATTCGAATGCCATCAAGTGGAAAAACAAGTGGAAAATAACAACAATCAAAGTTGTGAAAAATATTCTGAAATTGTAAATATTGCTTGAGAATAGAAAATATGTGTATCTACTTTTAAACTTATTATTATTGGATTTTTAAATTATTTTTAAATTGAATTTTTAATGGTAATTTAAGTAAATGAGACAAAACTTCTTCTTTTTTAAAGATCTTAATTGGTTGCGTAAGTTTTACAGGGTGGCCCATGTAGCGTTTGCCTTTTGAACTATCGATAATTTGGACTTTGACATTTCGATTGTCATTGTCATTGTGACAGATATTTATTAGAAGGTTTGCGGTTTACGAAATGGTTAAGTTTACGGTCGAAGACAATTGGAAAATATTGACATTTTTATAGCGATTTTAAAAAGAAAATCTTGCGTGGGCCATCCTATAGTTTCTTTCTAACTCAAAGGCCTTACAGTTAACCTAATCCCTGTACATACATAGTAAAAAACCCTACTAAACCACAACCGCAAGTACCACTGACTGAATCACAAGCAAAAAATCTGTAACCAAAACCAATTGAAAATAAAAATGCGGATAAAAGATGAAGAACAATCTGTTTCCTGAGTACAATAAAACAAGATAAAGCATAATGCCAAGCACCAACAACATGGCAAACAAATTTACTTTCAACTTGAAACATTCCTTATATATATCTATAGATATATATATATATATATATTACCATCTGGCAGGGAGACTCATTCGGTGTGCGCGCCTTTGTTTATGCTACACTTTATTGCGCTTTTGCAATTTCGCGTTTCCGTTTCCCGTCAAATCAGCCATAAAAAACGTAAAGCAAATCTGGGAGTCACGACCCCGCCCAGCTGGATGCTTTTGGTCTTGGTCTTGGTCTTGATCCTGGTCCTGCTTCTGCTCCTTGAAGGCGCCTATTACATTTCGCAGTCGAATAAACAATGCCAACATCATTTGCACCTCCTTCATTATGGGCTTGCCTCGTTATTTGTCAAACAAATAAACAGCAGGCAATGGAAATGCCAGTACACTCAAGAAAATAATAAAAGATTAAAATTTAGAAGAAAAATTTTGGTAAAATAAGTTTTAAAATTGATTTTTCAGGAATTTTGCTATATTTTTTTTGAGTTAAAAATATATTTTCTTTATTATTTTTCCCCAATTTTTCCTCCCAGTGTACGTGATAGGGATTTTTGGGGACATGGCTGGAAAACAGAAGACATGCCAGTCACTGTTACGTGCAATTGTCTCTCTCGCTTGGGCCCATGATTTTCCATCATTATCATGGAGAGCTGTTCGTGTTTACAATTTTTCCTCAGCTCTTCGGCTCTCCTTTCTCCATTTTGCTTTTCCCATTTTCCCCACTGTGACAATTTATTGTCATCTTCTCCTCAATGTCGAGTGTGTATGCTCGTTTTGTTTTGTTTATACACTTTCGTATTTGCATTGCCTTCTGTTCTCTGAGTTTTCTTTTTTCTTTTTTTTTTGTGTTTTTCCTTCGGACTGGATTTTTTTCTAAAGAAAATTGCGAACTTGCGAAATGAAGTGCAAAATTCAAACGGAAATTGAAACGGCAATGACAGAGTCAACTTGAGTTGAGTTTGTTTCTCCCTTTTTTGGGCTCCTTGGGTTTCTCTATTTTTTTTGTATTCCTATTTTTATCCTTCTTTTTTTTCCTCTTAACATCTTAGGGCTTGGACTTTGGGCCTTAGCCGAAGGACTTTTGGGCACATGTTGCCTCTCCTGCAGTTGCATATATAAATATTTCCTCACAATGAAGTTGAGAAAATGGCGATTTTCTCAAGCGTAAACTAAACACTTGAAATGCGAAAATAAATAAAAATGGACATCTTGGCGAATTTATTGGTCATGATGATGATCATCATCATGCCTCACCAATGTTGAATGCCACTGAAGCATGCATAATAATGGGGCAGTGAACTTTTGTGACTCCAAATTGGGTTCTGGTCAAGGGTGAACAGCGAGTGAAATGAAGTTTAACTTTTCTCCTGATGCATCGTTGACTGTTTTCAAATAGTTGAAAGTTTTTCAATGGATTTTTCCATCAACTTGATTTTTCAACCTTGACTGCACAGGCGCTAAACTATCGAAAAAGCACCACTTTCTCTGACCAAAAATCAATTCGTTAGCCGAATAGAGAGGGAAATTGCAAATATAAACTCGAATATATATATATAGATATAGGCAAAGAAATCGGACAACTGTTGTTTGCAATTAGAAGCAAATAAACTAAATTGTTTCGTGGTTCGTAGCTTTTGGACATTTTCAAATTTGTTCGGCACACACACACACAGAAAACTCACTAACATTCGCGGATTTGCTCTTCATTTTTGCGGCAATCGCATTATTGGTGAATGTGTGAAATGTTTTTGGCTAACAGCTCAGCTCTTGGCCGTAGCGATTCTACACGATTTGGCGCATTTACATATTTTAATTAAAACATAAATTCTGCATTTTGGCCATCTAGTTGGGATAGTATACTATCGTTTGCATGCGAAAAGCCAGTGAGAGTGTTATATTAGAGAGCTGTGGACTCGATTGATTAGTGATGCCGCAAAAGTGGTCACTGTGATTCAATTTGGCATTGTTTTGGCTTTCAACTGTGGATGGATAGGCCGAAAAGTCACTATTTTTGGATAATTAAGATGTGTTTCAGTTGATTTCAGTTCATTTTTTGAGTAGATTTTGGGTTTAAGTGTGCATGAAAGTAGTTTAAAGGTTAATAAATGGATTCAAGTTGAAAATTAGGTGAATTTTTGTTGGGTTTTGTTATAAAGAAATGGTTTAAAATTTATAGAGGATGATATATATCAATATAGATGCAATTTTTCTTCATAAAACCAAAAAAGTTTAAATTTTTCATAGAAGAAACACAGTGACTTTTCACACTCTCCCAAACTTCCACTGATATTCCTTCCAGTTGATGTTCAATCACCGTCTCACTTCCAGTCCCATCTCTTTGACTCGTTCGATGCTTCTGCATGCCTTTGGTTATTTTAATAAATATTTCAACAGCCACACGCACATCACAACTACACACACACACACACAAGAAGGCAGCACGTGGGTAGCGCATAGTTTACTATCTACTAAATATTTAAACGCAGCGTCAGATCGTAAAAGCAAAATGTATGCAAAGTGCATGTCGAGCAGCCATCGAGGTGAGCTGTAAAAAAATCCAAGGCAAGTTACTTGCTCAAATGAAACAAGGAAAAAAAAAGGTTAGAAAAAGGTAAAAAAAAGAGGTAAAAAAAGAGGTAAAAATAAATAAAGCTAGAAGAGCCAAGCAGCCATGGCGAAAAGCTACAATATTGAATAAAGTTAGTACCCGGCGGTCTGTTGCGCCTCATCGTGTTCAGTTTGTATATATATAAAGTCTAGATAATATATATATATATATTTTTCTATTTACCTTTTACCTTATAGTATAACTTCTTGTGTTAGTTTTTGTATTAGAATTTTTTATATATTTTTTAGCTGCTGCTTTGTCTCATTTACATTTTTAATAATTAAAATAATTCCTTAAACTTATAAAAAATATTTATTACTTAAAAGCAAAGTAGTTCCTTCTCCTGATATCTATACAGACCTCTTGCACTGCCTTTTCCCCTTGAATATAACTTTTGTAGCCAGAATTTCCCTTGGCAAGTTTAAAATGAACGCTTATCGTCGGCGGCAGTCTTGCAGCGAAAAGTAACGCATCGATGGCAATGCAAACACGGCACATGGCAGCGGGACAAAATTTCTTAATTTCAGCCTGGTACCCATTTCAGTCCACCACCACCACCAACTCCTCCTCCCCACATCTCGATTTCCAGCCAGGACACAGAATTCGATGCCTGTGCGTTGGCAAATAGAAGCACAAAAGTGCCAAAGCCGCAATGTGTCTGGCTCTGGGTCTCTGGCCCGTGTTCCTGCCAGTACTCCTATGTATATGTATATGTATATATGGGCAACATGTCTTGCTCCTCTATGCGACCACGCCCACACAATCAAGCGCCCATTTATGCACTAATTAAAATTTTATCGTTAAATCTTGTTTGCATGCATTGCTACAAGCAGCCACTACTGCAGCGTCACTCCTTCTACCCTACTCCCGACCAAAATGTATGCAATGCGAACATTTTCGTTGAAAATGTTTGGCAACAGTTATTTGCACTTCCCGATTCCCGATTCTACCATCTAGCCATGCCCGCTTTTTGGTGCTGGAAATGGGGCGGCTGGACCAGGACATACGATTTTCATAGCGTTTAATGCCTGGCACAAGCATTTTCATATTTTATTTTGGCTGGATTCGCAGCCAAAAACCGAGGGCACATTCGATAAGTGCCGACACTGGAAGAAAATTTGTATGGAAAATGATTAAAAAGTGGAGTTTAATATGGAAAAGGGGTTAAGGTGAAAGGGATTTTTGACCTTAAATTGGTAAGAAAAATTAAGTATACGAACTTTATTGTTAGTTTCTGTGTTATTTGCTAGTTTTTTTCATAATATTATTTGTTTTTATTTCACACTAACAAACTCTTTAATTTCTTTCCATGGCAACTTAATGTTTTTGGTGCTGTGGCAGGCTGATTGCGTTTGACCTTCGCTGGCAAAATGTGAATCGCATTTAGGCAAAAACAGATAGCATTTCGAAATCACTGCCGCTGTCATTTTGTCAAACATTTTTCAAATTACACCTCATCTCACACGCTCTGTCAGCATATGCAGTGGCAGAAAAACAAAAACAACAACAACAACAACACCAACTAAGTGAAAGCCAAAAATTCAATTTCAAAATGTTGAAACCAAAATCCAAAAAGTCATACAACTTTTTACCCAGCTGTGCTCTCTTCTCCTGCTGGCTGCCCCCGTGACAACTTTTTTAATTTAATAAATACAGTGCGTATGCGTAATTTTTGTGGCTTTAAGCGGCAGCTGTTGCTGTGTGAGGGTGTGAGTGCGGTTAGAGCTGGAAAAGAAGCAAAAAAAAATTTAATTAAAACGCTGCATAAATGAAATTCAAATTCGGAATTGCATGCAAAATGAATAATTGAATGGGCCATGGCAGTTGACTAGCTGCAGCGACGGAAGTTTTAGTTAATTTCTGTCAACGCCGCACTCTTTTTCAGACAGACACACCTCAATTCGGTTGGCAAACACAGTGGTTGACAGGGAAGTGTCGCTAAAGACATCGATTTCTAAGAGTTAGGGGTATGAATAAGATGAAAAAATATTAAAAAACTCGAAAACAACCTTGACATTATCATTTTTGAATGCTTAACTTGTGCTTACCTTTAAATTCAAAAGGAATTCATTTTCTTTGGTTAGTAAAGTTATTTATACTTATACTCCACTGTATCTATAGCCTGTTACTGTTCATTTTCTAGTCAGTAAACAAATCAACCGCAAAACAAATTAGTAATTTAATTTTCATTGCATTCACTTGAATTTTAAAGCTTTATTTGTTTGTTCGTTTTCCGTTTTCCTTTTTTGTTTAGCTTTTGCTAAAATAATAAAATCCCAAAAATAAATGGATGTTGTGATGTTTTTGTACAAATTTATTTGTTGTTATTTTATAAATCTCCTCGACGACTGGTGGCCAATGTCCCAGGGATGGGGTTTTTAACTTTATGTGCTTAACAGCTTTACAGCTTTACTAACTGTCTTAGCCAGGCCCCTACATGTAGCCTATAAATAAGAAGAAGAGTCTTTAAAAATTTGTTAGATTAATAAGACTTAAAAATACTCTGGAAGAGGATATATTAAAAGGAATATTAATTGGGATTTAAAAACAACTTTGAAGGAAGTTTTGTTTTTAGAAAGTTCTGTTAAGCTTTCACTTTTTCTTAAACAAAATTTATAAAAAATATTATTAAGCTTAAAATTTGAACCTTATTGAATACTTTCAAATTAAAAATAGTAAATTTGTGGAATATAAAAATATAATTTGAAGTTAAAAGAAAGATTTCCTTCAAAAAGGTATCTAAAATATAAACAAATCCTTTTTAATTTCTCATTTTTATATCGTAAAAATTAAATTTACCTCTTAAAAATTTTACCCAATATAAAATACTTCCCACAAGCCTACATAAACCAAGTCTAACTGGTTTATTACCTTTGTTTAGACTTTATATGACACAAGTTGGCCTGCAATAATGGCACTTGAGCCCACGGCATTGTCTTATTTTCCATAAAGACTTTGCCTGCCATCCTCATACTATTTTCCCAGAATTTTCTGCTCCTCTGAACTTCTTGTCGAAAAATCCTGAGCAAGTTTCTTATCGCGGCAAAATGTTATTTTTTCTCTGCTGGGTTTACTTTGCGCTTGATTTGTTTTTGGTAGTTGTTTGTGCCTCTCTCTGTGTGTGTTTGCGAAAATTCAGCTTTATTCCATGGAAATCTCGCCTTTCCCGGGTTCCATTAACTTTTCGGCATAAGTGAGTATGTGATATATATGCATATAGTATATATATATATGAGGATAGGGACTTGACTTCGCCTGGGAGGCAGTCGAGACAAAGTGTGCTGGCTCCCAGCTTTGGGAGTTAATTTCCCAGAACTTTTGATTGCTCAATTTGGGAGGCTTCGAAGATTTTGCATATTAAATTCAAAGCTTAAAGCTTAGTTTGATTGGTAATTTTAGTAGATTTGATGATAGGTTGAAGAGCTTTGATATTAAAGAAAAAATCTAAAGTTTATTTATGGAACAGATCAAAAAATTAACTTTTCTTAGTTAACTTTTGGTTCTAGTTTGCGAGAAAAATGTTAAACTTGAACTTTTCCCATTTAATTTTTTTAAGTTTTCCCATATTTCAACGTCAAATTTTCTTTATTTCATAACAATAATTTGTAAATAATAAATTTCTTGTATAAAACTTGTGATTAAACCCCCCAAAAATGTGTGAAATAAAGCAAAATTTCGTTACCCACGACCTGGTGCATAATCTGCGATGCCAAAAACGTGGTCCCAGGATAGTAAGCTCTTAAATCTTAAGCCAACAAAGTCAGATTTTTATGTTTTATAAACAATATCTAAACCCGATTAGAGACACGAAATGCGAAAGATTAGGTCTTGGCCAGGAGCTCGATTTATGTGCGTTTGCCGGAATGGAGACTTGAATACGGCTGCCTATTGTTTGGCAGAGTTGATGCAGGAGCCATTCCAGCCTTTTCCCATGGCCACCGTGGCGGTGCATCATTCGATCCGGGATGAGTTCATCGAGAGGGTGAGAAGTCGCTTCCGGCAGCTGAAACCGCATGTGGCCAACCATCCGAATTATGCGAGAGCCGTTGAGGAGTTAAAACACGGACTAAGACCTGTTAACTACATTGTGGGCAATAAGGAAGATGCACCGGCCTGTGCCAGTCCCATTTTGGTAATGGATATTACCCATTTGTTCTTCCCGAGTGGGCCATCGGGTTGTACAACTTTGCATGTCTTCAACACGATGAGGAATGTATCGGAAATCTTTACTTCGGAGACCCCGAAATTCGATGCTGTCTATTATTTTGATGAGTCTATTGCGGGTGTCTATATTCTGGCCAAGTTGATACAGTGTGTCCAGTTTTACGTTAACTGCATGGATGCGTGTCTGCTGGAGATTATGCCTTATTATATGGATCATACTCCGATGGTGATCTACAAGAGGGGCTATCACTATGAGACCCTTGAACTTGGTTCACAGTGGAAGATCATCGTCTTTCCCTACAGCACTTCCATCTTGCGGCAATGTTGCTGCCCCACTGGCCAATGTCGCTGCTATGCCACACATTCGGCCTGCTGTGAAGAACATTTGCACACACACTAATGTGGTGATTCCTTTCCAGAATCTAAGGCTGATAATTTGGAGATGCAACTCTATCTTGGCAAAGGAAATCAGAACTTCCTCCGTCTGTACTTCGACTGCCGGCATCGCTCCAGAAATCCGCAGTTCCAATGAGTAGTTTGCGACTGGCAACACATGTGAGCCATAATTTTCGCGGTACTTGACTCTTGGATTGCCAGTAAAGTGTTAATTGGCTATAGGGGATTGTTATTAAATTGACTGGTAAATGGGAATTTAAAGATTTTAATAAAAAATTTGTTTCCTTAAACAGAAAAACTAAATTTGAAGTAATTTTTATACGAAAATGTCTTAAAATTTCTAACAAGGATGGTTTCTTAATACTAATAACTAAAAACTAGCTGTTAGGATAGCTTAAAAATGGATTAATTAATAAAATTATTTAATTAAATTGTCTTTTTCTAATCCCTTTTCCATTTGAGGATCTCCCCTGTACCTTGAGTCGCAATAATTTTGGCTGTATTTATCAAACCGTAACCCTCCGCCCAGAACCTTCAACTTTGGCCAACCGCTTGCAGGATGTCGCCGACTGTTGGCTTTTAATAAAACTTGCACACAGCCGCCAAGTATTTGCCTTGGCCTTGCCTTTCCTTTAGCCCATCACCTCTCCCCTCCTCCAAAAAAAAAATAACTTTGAGAAGTTTGGGAAGTCATAGGACCAAGGACTAAAGATTGAGGACTGAGAACGGAGAAACTACCAAAACCGACTGGCAAGTCTGGCAGCCATTAGTTGCGGCTGCTGATGCGGCAGCTTGTCGCCAAGGCATTGACTTCTTTCGTTTACCGCCGAATGAGTAGTAGTAGTTGTTGGGCTTTTATGTGCCAACTTGTTAATGAGTTTGCCAGGATGCTAGGATGCCAGGGGTTACCCATCCCAAGGAGATCTCATCATCCATCTATACATGACAGTCGGCCTAGGCTGCACTTACTTACCTTCCACTACTTTTTTGGCATTGAAACGCAGTCGTTGCAGCAATCACCGGCATCTGTAACTCTCTGGCAGTCCTTTGGTTTGATGTCCTTTCTGTCTGGAATGTCTCTCCATCTGCTGCAATTCGTCTGGTTTATTTGTCAGTTCTGTCTGCCATTTTGATTTGCAGTCTCTGACATATTTTGGCCGCACTTCAGCATTCGTTGGCCATGAAAAATGGCAATGGAAAAATGATGTTGTAGATTATTATTTTAGCTTTGGTTTTCTTTTCAGGGAAAATATGTCTCTTATGTTCAGTAAATATGCCATAAAAGTTAATCATTTGATAGTATTGCTTTGCGAATATTGAATAAACTAAGCAAATTAGTTCTAAACTTGCTTAATGATGCGAGAAATATTGTAAAAATAACTTGAGGCTGCTAACTTGTGGCGAGAACAGACACAACTCATACATGGCTCATACAAATTGTACATGCCAAATGACAAAGTGTTCATGATGTTTATAAAATGGGAAAACACAGCAACCGACAACGACAACAACCAACTGAAACCGCTGCCAGCATAGAATCCGTAACAAAACAGAGCAATTCCGACCAAATGTCTCTCAAACTGACCGCAACAATTTGAAAAACATTACCCATACGCCGCGTATGACACGGCAAAGCGGACCAGATGGGCGATAAAAAGGGCAGAAAGATCCTGGGTGGAACTATATATGTATGTAGGTACAACCGACAACCAACTCAACCATAGAGCGCAGTGTATTTTCAACACCTGCTGGTCAAACAAATCGTGTTCATTTCGGTACAAACACTAATTTCGACAAGGTGCAAACAAGCTGACGACTGGTCGGCAGGTGGGAGAGGTGCTCGAAGGGAGATTGTCGTATCGTAGAGGAGGAACTGGAGGAGTGCCAACCAAAGGCCGAGCTTGGGGACACTGGCCCGAACAGGAACACGCTCGAAACAGAAACACAAACACAATGGAGGAAATTCTCACCTTCCCGCTCTTTCCAGCAAAAAGGTACACCGACACATGGATGTCACGTGCACTGACTACTCTGCCGGGCTTTCGTGCGCTTTTCCAGGGAGTACATTAAAAGAAATATATTTTTCAAATTTATGGAGTTATATTTTAAATATTTTAAGCTTGTTTAAGATTCTCTATTTTGAAAATCAGCTCTTGGGAAAAGAACAGCCAATGATTCTGCTTTGCAGCTCAATAGCTAACTTTACGCTTACATCATTGTTAAGAAAATATTTATAAATATTTTTAAGGTTACAAGAAGTTTAATATAAAAAGAAAAACCAATGAAAGGTGTAATGATGATCATTATTCTTCTCCTAAAACTCTATAACTTCAAGTTACTAGTTTTTTCTTAGAGTGCAAAACAACTCCAGAGTCGCATCCCGGAGTTTTTGGAGTCTGCGTTTTCGGACCGAGCCTGGCGTCGACAGATAAAATGCTTTTTTGTGAAAAATGTAAAATTGCATTTGTAACCGCATTTCATTAGAGGAAGAAAGTCAACCGTCAGGTAGCAGACAACGCACGTTTTCATAGATGGACCTGGTGAAAGGGTGGAAAAGGGGGGTGGTTGAGCTCGGTTAGTTGGTAAAATAGCAACAAAGTTTGCATCCGCGCCGGCGAAACGAGCGTCACGGTCAATGGTGAAACTAGACAACGAGACAAAACTTGGCCCAAACACACACACACAGGCAGACAGACGACGAACACTCTCGGGCCAAAAACGGAAAGCAAACTATTCCATTTTGGGGGTGTGAAAATCGAGATGGGGGAAGAGTTTGCATTTTGCCATTTTTGTTGCATGAATCCAGGACATAAACATGGATCCTGTGTGTCTGGGACTGCAACTTCTGTCCTGTCGCTGTGCCCTACTCATTGTCTGGCCGTTAGGCCTTTAAATGTCCTGACAGGAATGTTGATGGCAAACTTGGTTATCGATATGTGAACAACGTTTCTGGTCATAAATAAATAATGGCCCAGTGCTAAGGACTGAAATGATGTTGGGATAGTAAAGAGTAGACATAAGAATGGCTGACAGTTTCAAGTTCATAATGGTAAAGTTATGTTGAAGGCTTACAGTTACATAATTTAAGTTTTATTTTAAAATATTTTATAAAGATTAAATTACAAAATTTCAACATCCCTTTAACCTCCTCTAGTTGGCTATCACATTGTGAAAATATCGGGATACAATGTTCGTTAAGGATGTTAGAATGTCAGGCACCTCCTTGAGACCCTCTTCCATTTCTGAAGGACTGACGAAGCGATAGGCCAACAGAAGGACCACAATCACCAAGGCTGGTAAGGCCAGAGCCACCACAATCCGAGACACAATCACAACGACATAGCAGATCACTACCATGGCCAGAAGAATGGCCAAGATGCGACCCATTTCGCCGGACTTAACTTGATTCGTCTTGGTCCAATCATCCAAACGGTCAAAGATGCCTTCTCCCAAGTCCATTTTGGATGAATTTTTAATTTGTTTTTTAATTTTACTTAGAATTTCTGAACTTCTGAATTTCTGTGAGCTAGACTCGTGTTATATCCAAAATGTTTGAAGTTTTTTTCAAAGATAAAGTTAGGTTTTTAATTTGCTGCACCTCATCTACCATTTTTCAATTGAGAATTCCTTTCTTTCAGTGCAGTTAAGAAAATAACCGCCGACTTTTAGCGACTTTGGGCAGCTGTGAAATCTAAATGGCGCACTTGATGTCAACGGCAGGATATCTCGCCGAATGCCGAATGCTGACTGCCGAACCGTGTCCTGACAACTTGACAAATGAATGATCGGGCCGCAGTCTGGGCACCGCAGAGCGGCCAACCTCAGGCAGCGTACAACGGCCAAAGGACATTTCCAACAGGACAACGGACCCTGGACATTGGACATAGGACAGAGCCGCGGCACATGACGGTACTGACGCGACGACAAACCGCAAAAAGTGAAACGGCAATCGGCCAACAACAGCAACAATAAAAGGGCAAAAATGAACCCGACAATTTCACATCAGCCGCCAGTATACAACCGCCATTCCAGCAATCATGAAAAGCACCAAGCACCGATTACCGATCGGGTGAAGTTCCTGGACCTGGACCTGGACCTGGAACTGGTTGAAAGTCCTTTGCCATAGCTTGCCCGTTCAGTTGGTTGGTGTCTGTGCATAAATTCCATCATATGATATCAATTAGTGATAGTGCGGTGCGACTGAAATGTCATTTGCAAAAATGCGCATATTTTAAACGTGACACACGCAGGCTCCGCACCTCCTTCTCCTCCTCCTCCTCCTCCCTTCAGGCCACCAGGCCACATCAGCCATCCAACAATCCAACCATACAGCCATCATCCCATTCAGACAAGCCATGATATCTCGCTAACGGAGCGAGAGCCATTCGAATGCTCTATTTTGGCCAAGGTATGATTGATGTTTGTTGGGTACTTGAGGTGTTCTTGGTGAGAGAGATCTTAAACTGTAAACCAGTCAACTTTTCATGTTTAGAAAGCTCATCAAATTCCTTTTTTTATTACCATTGTAAGGTTCTTTTTTTCTGATTTTTAATCTCTAACAACCTTACAACTTGAAACCCCAAAAAGAGCATCCAAAAGTCTTCTTATCCCACCTAATTGACCGGCTTGAAATCCCTTTTTTCGTCTCGCTCGCTGAGACCATAAAAACCAAACAGAAAATGGCCAAACGGACCAAACCTGCTGCCTGGTCAGCCACATAAAAATCAGCTCGCCCGCATCAACTGCATGGCAACAATGGGGCGTATGAATATGCAACGATGGTGCTGCCGTCGCCGATGATGACCACGAGGTAGGTTGGGAAAATGGGAAAATGGTTTGGGACAGGAGCAGCAACAGCAGCAGCAGCAGAAGGAGGTGGAGGAGTATCAGACTGGCCTGCAACGGATATGCAGGTGCAATCTCAAACAGAACTTACCACAGAAACAGGGGCGGGGATGAGGTGGTTTTTGGGTTCGGTTTTCGGGAATTGGGCGAGAAGACATGTCAACGTAACCAGAAAACGGATGGCAGCCAAGGCCAATAAAATTGCAGCCAAGTGCAGCTGATGCAACGATTTGGTGACTCTGACTCGCGGCATCCAAACGCCAACACAAATTGCATTTTCAGATTTTTTGTTTTTACCAGCCTCCTCCTCAGCTGAGACCGTTTCGTGGAAATTAAATTTGGTTTTTGGACACCATGGCCAGCAGCAACAATATGCTGAATGCTGAAAATGCCATCGAGTTGCAATTGATTGTTGGCTTATTGACACTCGCAATGCGAAATTAATGCCGGCACAAATGTGCAAATTTGCCAAATTGTTTGTTGGCTTTCTGTCATTTTTGCGGCTGACAAGATAAGCCAAGCTGGAAATTGCTTTAACCGGATTTTTGATGCTTTTGTTTTACCATATTTTGAGTCAAATTTAATTATAACTGCACTCGGTAAGGGGAAAGAAAGGTTAGTTAATGTTGTAGAAAATTGGTTTGTCTTAGCAGTCAGCTTAAAGTGTTTTCACTTTCTCGAAATTAGCTCAAGCGTTAAGTGACTTTGCTCGTTGACCTTCGACCTTAGGAATAATTTCTGTTTTCTATGCCATGACCTGAAATCCCCTTACTTGCTTTTCTTTTTTTGACACTTTGCATTTGATGCAATTGACCTCCGTTTGTAAGCTGGCTTCGTTAACATTTTATTTTTGGCAATCGAGAAAGGAAAATTCTTGATTTTTATTATTCTATGAGGAAAGGTGGTTGGCTTTTCCTTGGGAAAAATCAAGAGAGAGAAAGCTTCAGGGCATTTTTATTGAGCAGTTTTTTATTTCCAGCTTTTTATGGATTTTAGAGATGGAAATATATTTTTAGGAAATATTTTCTTAGAGGTTGGGAACGGAAATTTTAATTTTTGATATAAAAACAACCCATAGTTACGGCTTAAAACTTAATATTTGTTTCTGATAAATAAAGTTCAAAAATGAAAAACATTTTTCTTTTTTCAATTCCTTATTTCCTCAATTCTAGTTAACTTATTTTTCTGATTTATGGCCATTAACCTGCCATCCCCAATACCAAACTCTGCTTGACTTTTATACAAAATCTGAAGTGTAAAATATAAAAATCAAGAACATTTCACATTTTGCTGTTGACATTTGAATGGGCGAATTTTCAATTGATTCATTCGACGAAATGTGAGAAATTAATCAGCCATGGCTTAGGGCCAATGCCACTTGCCAATAGCCAATAGCCAAACTGGCTTAATGGCGACACGTTGCCAAAAGCGGTCTTTCCATTCAAATCTCAATCAATTGGCAATAAAATTGAAATTAACTTGCCACAAAGGCATAAATGCTTTGGCTTCCATTTCCCCTCTACTCCACCCCTCTGCCCACTCGTTTGACACAAACTTAATTTCCAGCAAAAATACTTAAAAAAAAAGGAAGAAAAAATTGGTAGAGAGAAAAAAAATGAGGAGAAAAAATGCTTGCAAAAAAATGTTGGCTGATTGCTCAAATGGGTTGATGGGTTCTGGATGGAGAGGTTTTTTGGGGTGGTGGGTGGACGATTGTGGTGTTGGCTTGGAGACTTTAAGCCACAGGTAGAAGCAAAACAGTTGATGAAGTTTTCGCTCAAAGAAGCAGCAGTAGAAGCAGCAGCAGCAGCTGAAAGGAAAAAATAAAACTGAACTAAAGAAAATTCAGAGAAAAAATTGAAACTACCACACACAGCCACCAAACGAAATAAATTGAAAATCGAGTGAGCAGCAGGAACAGCAACAATAACAACAACAACAGCAAGAAAAACACTTTCCAGGGTTGTCAACTGCATGGAGGAAAATAACAAAAAAATATCAAAAAAACTCTTGGCAATGCGGTTGCTGCTGGGAGGGAGAAAAAGCAGAAAAAACAAAGACCAAAAAAAAAAATAAAGAACCCAAAAATAAAAGACAAATCTAAGCTTTGGCATTCCTCTTGCTTAACAGCAAAAGTTTTTCCATTATTTGAAGATTATAGACTCTAAACATTCAACTCCCCCCACTCCCTCCCACTCTTTTGAAAAACTTGACAAGATATGAGGGTGAGCATGTGCAGGGTTGCCAGTTGGGTTGGTTGGTTGGGTAGAAATTTCCACATCATTGTTGCTGATGATGACGTAGCTGAAAATGCTCCACACTTTTATGACAGCCAAACGATAAGAAGTGAGGAGCGAGTAAAGCTCAGAGGGAAAAACTCAAAAGTGAGGGACATAAAAGATAGATGTTAAACTTTTTCACCAATGCATTCGTATTGCTTTGTTTTATTCGGAAAAATCCCCTCTCTCCGACCTTCCCACCCCCCCCTGTCAAACGTCAATTGCTGTTCGATGCTGCATATGCTGATTATTATTGCCATTGTTGTAGCTCTTGTTTTTCCAGAATTTCCCTGTGAAATGATTCAATAAGCTTTGCCCATTGGCATTTGGAACTTGCCAAACAATTGTGGTTTTTGTTGGCCTCAACAAGGGTCTTAGGACAGGTGGAAAAATTTGATAATATTTTATAAAAGCGGAAGAAGTTTAAATAAAAAATATTTTAATATAAAAAAAAGTCATTGCTGATTTTTTATAACTTTTAAAAATATTTTTAACTCTTTTAAGATGATTTTACCATGAAATTTGGAAGGCTAAACTTTGATTTCTTCATTTAATAGCTGTTTTCTTATTTATCATTTTTCATTTTCTTATTAATTATTAAAATATTAAATAATTTTCATTAAATCCTTATTTTCCAGTGTTTTTCCCATTCAATATTTATGATTTTGTCATGTTTTCAGTTATCATATTCGATGCTGTGCTCTTTTGCTTATTTTCACTTTGCCAACCACAATCAATAAATGCATAGAAATACTGCAGAATAATTTTATAGACACTCAGTAACTCAGGGGGGAGTTCTGGACACCGTTTTGGGGGTGGGGCTGTACTGGGGGAATGAATGAAAAGAATATTGTAAAATACATTTAGATGCATAACTGAGGTAGTTGCAGCAACAACACCTTATTCCGACTGCCACACCAATAAGGAAACGGAAAAGTCACTACCACTGCTCCCACTCTCTCTCACTTTCTCGAACAATAGGAATTGTTAAAGGACTGTGGCCAACTGTCGGGCAATAAGTTTTGTGGAGAGGGTTAAAAAATATGAAAGCAACTTTTCCGGCTACTAAAATATGCAAATTCAAAAGTTTTCAGGCCAAATCAAGCGTAGCCGAAGGGACCGAGAGAGCACTATGCACTATACAACTGACAGACAGGTGTCATTTCACTGTCTGTTGCCATGATTTTTGATTATTGTGTTCGCATTTTTATCAGCATAGACTCTGTCTCTGTCTGTCAGTGGTCAAAAGTGATATGGCCAGAAAAGGTGGGCGTTCGTAAAGGCACTTTTACCCATTCGCCCAAAAAGTTTTTCTTCTTGCCAGTTGCTTTTTTTTTCTCCATTGCCATTTATTTTTGATATTATATGAAAAGTTTTTATTTTCGAGTACCAACTTTGGACATAATATTACACAAATTGTTGGTAATTTACAAGAAG